CCGGTAGCGTTCGGATCGGATATAGTGACGTCATCGTCCCCGCGCCGGGCGGTCAGTGAACTTTTTTAGTAATTTGGCCATAACTTCGTCAATTTTTGTCGTAGAACAAAAATTTTTGGACTGTGTATTAAGGATTCCTTAGCCCTATAAATCTGCATTCACAGCTAAAAATCGAAATGATCCTCATTATGTTATTCTCGGTTAAAAACAATAATACTGTATAGTTTCATCAAAATCCGTTCAGTAGTTTTTACGTGAAAGAGTAACAAATATCCAGACATCCGCATCCGGACATCCACACAAACTTTCGCATTTATAATATTACTAAGAAGTAAGATAAAAAATATTAAGTAATCATGACTGTGATATTATGAACCTCTGAAAAGTTCTGAAATGTGCTGGCCTAAAATAGTAACTACATCTTATATTGAATAGCCATTATAAAGAAAAAACCATTCTTATTTATTAAGTACAAATAATTAGGTACTGTAGCTTACAAAGATCGGATTCTGAGAAGTTATCACTCAGTGGGAAGAGTTGATTTACCTATTTTTTTTTTTAATATTTAGCTGAGGCAAGCAATTAGGTAAAATAAATGTGAGATAAATAGGAAGATGATTTTTTGTAAGAGGCATTTCCATAGTTTTAAAATAATACCTTGGTTAAAACTGGCACTCCTCCTACGGTAGGAGGTATAGGCGATCGCGAGGCCATTTGCTGACTGAGGTATCTAATAATACTTCTATCTCATAAAGGTAATTGCAGAGGTCTTCATGCTGACCCTTCTCGATATTCACCCTATAGAGGACCTAGGCTAGGCAGGTATGTACGCATGTTACAGTCAGAACTCATAACCAGTCGAAACCACTTTTGACTGATATAATCAAGCAATGGTGAGTTTGATTTCAGACTGTCATGGATTTTGTATTTTGTTCAGCCAAAACTGTCAACATCTTTAGGTACTTACTGCATAACCGTTTCGGTATTACTATTAGCCATACATAATACAAACAGATACAAGTCAATACTATTTTTAATCTTTTTTTTTTATTAGGGCTAAAGATTTTCAATTTGTCGAAAAAAATAATAATAAAATCATTCACTTACTTGAGAAAGTAACAGGCTGGAACTAAAAACCAACACACAACAACAGAGCTTTAGCTAAGTAAAGGTTTAATTTAAGGTAATACGTAACGTTTTTTATGGAAATACCACAGAATTACTAGTACTTCGGTAATACTAAAATATTTTCTGTAATGTGGGGGTATATCAATATTTATTAAGAAACCCAATATTGTGAGCTAAGGCTACGGCCACAGTGTACGCTGTAGCAGTCAATCCCAACTAATATTATAAATGCGAAAGTAACTCTGTCTGTCTGTCTGTCTGTCTGTCTGTTAGTCTGTCTGTCTGTTACGCTTTCCCGCTTAAACCTCGCAACCGATTTTGATGAAATTTGGCATAGAGATAGTTTGAGTCCCGGGAAAGAACATAGGATAGTTTTTATCCCGGTTTTTGAAACAGGGACGCGCGCGATAAAGTTTTTCTGTGACAGACAAAATTCCACGCGGGCGAAGCCGCGGGCGGAAAGCTAGTAAATAAATAAATATTCTAAATTATGACCGTGTGTAGTGATTCGCGTACGTAGGGTTGCGGGTTCGATTCCCGCACAACATATTTTTGCGCATGAAGAATTGAAGATACCTAGGTAGTAGGTATATCTGTTTGTATTGATCGGTGCTTTCTATGTTATAATATTATTTTTATACGCTTTTTTATATTTTCGCTGTAACATGCACGGAAGACACTTAACACTGTGGCACCTTATTGTGATTGTAACAAATGCCATTTTTCAATACGAATGTGGATATCCTGATGTACTGCCGACTGTTCTTCATTGAAAATGAGGTCGAGGAGCTATAGATGGGCTCACTCGCGAGTAGGTTACTGCATTTATTCAAACTTGTGGTCGATCAAGCATTTTATGAGAGACGAAACGAACTAGTCTGTCTATTGTCTTTTGTTACAGAGCCTTACTAATTAAGGCCACTCCAAACATCGAAGTTTTACGTGATATAAGCTATTATTAATTAATTCTATTAAAACCACGGTTTCTACTGTTTTAAAAAATTTTAGGTTTTCCCTCTTTCAAGTGTATATCAATAGAAAAGGATTCCCTTCAATTAACGTATAGCCTGACCAGGAACATAAAAACCCTGGCACAGAGGCGCTTCAATTGCATTTGATAGTGCAACACTGAGTACAGTCGTACATGTGTTAAATTAATAGGCTAAATTTATGTATCAGGATTCAGGATTACGGGCTAATTTGATATTTTCATAAATTAACGAAAAATATTATTAAAGATAACCTGGTTTAAATAAATTAAATGAAACCATCAATCGAGCTAGTAGGATTTATTTTATTATTCATCAATAATCAAATTCAGAACATGAATATTCAACTGCAATGTCTGCTCATGAACGCTTCAAACTCGGTACTTCTTTCCCAATTCCATAAAATTCAAAACTTAGAAAGTGACAAAAAACTTTAAAATAGGTAGTTGAAACAGACTACAGCTAATTTTCATAGTGGACTGTACCATACGATAAACATGTCANTCTGTCTGTCTGTCTGTCTGTCTGTCTGTCTGTCTGTCTGTCTGTTACGCTTTCCCGCTTAAACCTCGCAACCGATTTTGATGAAATTTGGCATAGAGATAGTTTGAGTCCCGGGAAAGAACATAGGATAGTTTTTATCCCGGTTTTTGAAACAGGGACGCGCGCGATAAAGTTTTTCTGTGACAGACAAAATTCCACGCGGGCGAAGCCGCGGGCGGAAAGCTAGTAAATAAATAAATATTCTAAATTATGACCGTGTGTAGTGATTCGCGTACGTAGGGTTGCGGGTTCGATTCCCGCACAACATATTTTTGCGCATGAAGAATTGAAGATACCTAGGTAGTAGGTATATCTGTTTGTATTGATCGGTGCTTTCTATGTTATAATATTATTTTTATACGCTTTTTTATATTTTCGCTGTAACATGCACGGAAGACACTTAACACTGTGGCACCTTATTGTGATTGTAACAAATGCCATTTTTCAATACGAATGTGGATATCCTGATGTACTGCCGACTGTTCTTCATTGAAAATGAGGTCGAGGAGCTATAGATGGGCTCACTCGCGAGTAGGTTACTGCATTTATTCAAACTTGTGGTCGATCAAGCATTTTATGAGAGACGAAACGAACTAGTCTGTCTATTGTCTTTTGTTACAGAGCCTTACTAATTAAGGCCACTCCAAACATCGAAGTTTTACGTGATATAAGCTATTATTAATTAATTCTATTAAAACCACGGTTTCTACTGTTTTAAAAAATTTTAGGTTTTCCCTCTTTCAAGTGTATATCAATAGAAAAGGATTCCCTTCAATTAACGTATAGCCTGACCAGGAACATAAAAACCCTGGCACAGAGGCGCTTCAATTGCATTTGATAGTGCAACACTGAGTACAGTCGTACATGTGTTAAATTAATAGGCTAAATTTATGTATCAGGATTCAGGATTACGGGCTAATTTGATATTTTCATAAATTAACGAAAAATATTATTAAAGATAACCTGGTTTAAATAAATTAAATGAAACCATCAATCGAGCTAGTAGGATTTATTTTATTATTCATCAATAATCAAATTCAGAACATGAATATTCAACTGCAATGTCTGCTCATGAACGCTTCAAACTCGGTACTTCTTTCCCAATTCCATAAAATTCAAAACTTAGAAAGTGACAAAAAACTTTAAAATAGGTAGTTGAAACAGACTACAGCTAATTTTCATAGTGGACTGTACCATACGATAAACATGTCAGTCAATTTGACAACCTTTGTCGGAAACATTATTCAATGAAAATATTGTCCGAACCCTTAGTATTTCTCTTCGACAAATACATTAACACATCGTGAACCACTTTTCTTTCACGACTATAAAAATATTTTAGCAATTTAATTCACAAAATCAATTGCACACATTTAAAATAAAGTTTGTTTACACTTTGACAACAATAGACTGACATGCAAGGTGACATGTCAATGAAGTTTTCAGTTACTGTTGCCATTAAAAGAAATTAGTACCATTAGTTTTCCGCAACATGGCGAGGGTTTTTATGTTCCTGGTCAGGCTATAAATAAAAATAAATTCTCTTCGCTCAAATTGGATTATAGTTCCAAAATACTGGACTGTCCTGTCGATGACATTGACAGTGGGGCGCCACCGTCAATACCGGATCGCTGGTTCAGATTTTTGCCATGTTGGAAACCATATAGTTGAACGATGGTAGCGCCCCCCTGTCATTGAGTTTGGCGGGACAGTTCAGCGTGGGTCATCTATAATTGACTGTACTATACGATAAACATGTCAGTCAATTTGACAACCTTTGTCGGAAACATTATTCAATGAAAATATTGTCCGAACCCTTAGTATTTCTCTTCGACAAATACTTTAACACATTGTGAACCACTTTTCTTTCACGACTATAAAAATATTTTAGCAATTTAATTCATAAAACCAATTGCGCACATTTAAAATAAAGTTTGTTTACAATTTGACAGCAATAGACTGACATGCAAGGTGACATGTCAATGAAGTTTTCAGTTACTGTTGCCATTAAAAGAAATTAGTACCATTAGTTTTCCGCAAGATGGCGAAGGTTTTTATGTTCCTGGTCAGGCTATACTACTATTATACTATTTTCTCTCATATAGACCTTATCCTGTTTTTAAACATTTTTTTTAGAGTTAGCTTGGCTGTATTAGCATGATGCATTTGCCTATGTCTGCAAAAGAAAACAATAAAAAAATGTAAATATCAGAAATGACATTGACACATCTGACAGTGACAATATGTAAATGTCACTGTCATTAGTAGGCGTGTTCCATTATTCAAAACATTTAAAAATATCTGTATCAACTCCATAAACGACAATACATAATCAAAATTGAGTTAAATTTATAAGAAAATCCAATTTACGTGAAAACAAATAAAATAAATTTAGAAATGGAACATACTAAATAAACAAAAACATGAAAAAGATCGTACATTTACGAGATGATGACTAAAGGGAAAATTACCAATTATTGTCCTTTTCAGTATCAATTTACGTAAAATTTACAATAGTTAGTTAACAGTTCTTAAACTGGGCTTTTGAAAAAAGTCGTGAAGAGTTGTTGAAGACGTCTTCACTAGTGTGTATAAATAATGTGTAATTTATTAGCGCTAATTGCTATGTAAATCTATAATTAAATAATGTGAGATATTTTTGTATCCCTATCTTGGGTCGACAACTCATAATGCAGCCTTTAATTTCTCCCGTTGGTAAGTCGTATCTTAGTTGATTGCTTTGTTTTGTAGTGAAATGGTGTGATAGTGCACATAAGTTACATCAGTACATTAATGGTGGATTATAGTGAATATGTGGTGTTTACCTTTACCTCGAGGTAATTTTGTTCAAAGAGATAAGCTTAAGTTCTAATATCGCAACTTATTATGTGTAAATTTAGCATCTTTTCAGAAGAGCAAAAACATGGACAATTAAGTACTGTACCATACATTACTAGGCACCTTCTATTCTAGTTTCTTACTGGTGCTCAATTCGTGACTTTTATTTGGAAGTGTCTTGTTCTTTATTAGCCCAATCGATGACAGGTTAACTTTCCTCCGGGACAAACTTGACCTTGATTGCTTGGGTTTTTATTGGCGGTCAAGCTATAGATTCTGGCTACATAAGAGTTGCAACTAGTCTTTTATCAAGTCTATTCCCACCTCAATGTAGCAAACCTCCCAGAAAGGCTCATGTAGTGTTAGAACTTAAGCAATGATATGATAATATGCCAAACACAGAATTATTATACATTGTGTAACCTTCTTGGCTTAGTAATGTTGGTTATTCCATCAATTTTAAACTGTAAAACATAATATTTTATAACTGTGTTGTTCTATTTATATTTCAAAAGTAACTATATTGTGATCTCAATATTATTATGCCACTCATAAGAAGGTAGGTAGGTAATTAATTTGGAACAAGGATATTAGCAGTATGAATAAGTAGGTATTAGTAATAATTAATTTTAACAAAAGCAATCTACTGCCCTGTGGAAAGGGAAAATTTTCTCAAATTATCAAACCAATTATTGTCGTTTATCCTAATACTAAATTGAGTATAATAATATGTATTTCCTTTTATTTCATACATCGTTTAATACTTAAGCACCAGTACACTAGCAGTGGTCGAAGTACAGCCTTACCATCCTTTTTTATTTACTCTTATGTTGAGGCAAACTGTATAATAACAAACTTCAAGCCACTTTCAGTTTCCTCATTGAAAATTGGGAGAAACTATTCTTCTCTCTCAAAAATCAAAACCTCATAATAACTCATCATCCAATTAACAACTGGTTGATTCTGTTACTTAACCAAATAACAGAATAAAAAAAAACACTTTTATTGTCATCAAAATAAAAATAAAATCATTTGCCAGATTTGCACTGCCTAAACTGACTTATTAGCTTTTTCCCAACACAGGCCTATGAGCATATTTATTAGCATGAAGGATATAAGGGCTAGCTAAATAAATACTATGTCAGTAAATTTGGATAGGGACAAAAATTAATATTAGTAAATGAACTAAAAAAAATATACTCAAATAACAATTATAGAGCTTGCCTAATTCGCGATTCAAATTTTTGATTAGAAATAAATCTTCATGATTTACTTACTATATAAAAAATTTTTTGGACCAAGGCCATTCTTGAAAATCTTTTAAAAATACATCTCACGCATCTTCTGTTCATAATTAAGTTGTAGGCATACCTACATTACAGCAGTTATAAACATCACTTTAACTTTATCGGTATGTGGCGGTTTATGCATTTGATTAAAGCTGTAACAAGCGCAGAATTAATTGAATGAAATTAGTAGCTGTTTAGCTACTAATTTATCTATATAAATATTTTTTACTTAAACTAAGCATGATGTGGTGTTACCGATAAATAACGCGTGAATAATATTTCAACTTCAGTCATCCTAAAAATAAAAACAGATTCTGTGTTGATTCCAAGGGTAATGCTATCAAATGGCGATCGTAATGCTCTGTATAACAGGGATTACATTAGTTCACTCGCGCTCTGATATCACACCAGTGCCCGACGATAGATAAAATGTCGGAAAAATAACATAACATTTCGAAGCGTTAGAATGGTGGAAATACAGCTCATGGGATTGTCGAACAGTTTTGGTTTGTTTTGGAACGTTTTCGTTTTACATAGAACTGTATTTATTAATACTGATTAGGAAACATCAGTGTTAGATCCCTAAAGTGTAACCGATGGTTTTCAGATCATGAGTCGCGGCACAACTCGCACCGCACCGAAGAAATCCATGATACTGTCGTCACGGAAGATACGCCCTTGCTGCGCAGATTCCCTGCAGCCGTAGCTGATAGAAGGAGCCCCGTCACCACCGTAGTCGTCACGCTTCTATTGCTTATACTACTGTCTGGCATCATAATTGGAATTTATCTACTGGTACTCCAAACCAGATCCGGTAAGTTTTTTCATTTCCGCATTTATCCAAAATAATTACCTAAGGTCCCATGATCTTAGATCAGACAAAATCTATTTTGCGTCCCGTATCTTATTCGGTAATGTTAATAATGTAGTTTTACACTCGCCGTCTAATAAATCGCGATAAGCACTTTTCAAACATAGCATCCCCACTTCCCACCAGGGATCTATTCCGAATTCCGATTCAATCTAATACCAATGGTATTTGTTTTTATTCTTTATTATTTTCTATTCCGATCGGATACCACTCTTTATATTTATTTTAATAAATGCACGACCTATTCCGAACTAATACCAAAACATGAATCTTGGTACAGTCAGCTAGAAAAAGAATTTTATTTATAATTATGATACGATTGTTGTAACACAATGCCTTACTTGTACTTAATAGTACTAGACTATGCTAAAACTATATTAACTGTAATCCAATATTTTTAAATACAATTTATAGATTTTTTGATTGATTGCCTCTGATATTTTATTATGAAACAAAACTATATACTTACTAGATATTGCCTGTGATATTTTATTTTTGAATTAAACATAATATACTTACTATATTTAAGTTTGTTTGGTAAAACTGATTTTGTTAAATAAATACAACTTATTTTCACAACTAAAAGTTTTTTTTATTGACTGTACCTTTTATACCTACAAACTTGTTTTGGTATTCGTTTAAAAAGTGGTAGGTATTCGTTCGGAATAGAAAATAATAAAGATTTAAAATAAATACCATTGGTATTAGATGTTGGTATTAGATCGGAATAGATCAATATTGGTACTATTTGAAAGCCTAGTTCTAAACTTCATTTTATTATAGCAAAGGTTTTTACCCCGAAAATGTGTCTTTAGAAGGATCCAGAGTCTCTTCTTAAAGCGACAGGTAGTTACGCTTGAGCCAACTTTTAGGGCTATAAAACTGTTAAATTGGGATTAATCGCTATCCATCTTTAAGTTTATTTATTGGGCTTTCAAATAACACCAATATTGTTGGGGCACCATGATTGTGTCAGAAGAAAATCTTTAAAGTTCGCGTCGCGGAAGGTGCGATTTATTTGATGTTGAGTGTAGTTGCCGAGGATTAGTACGAGGGCTGCANTCCATCCGCCGTACAGCCCCGACCTAAGCCCTAATGATTTCTATACTTTCCCTAAAATTAAGAATAAATTACGTGGTCAGAGATTTTCATCACCTGAAGAAGCTGTGGAAGCCTACAAAACGGCCATTTTGGAGACCCAAACTTCCGAATGCAATGGTTGCTTCAATGATTGGTTTCGTGTATGGAAAAATGTGTCAAAGTTCGCGGAGAATACTTTAAAAAGCAATAAATACATTTTTAAATAGTAATGTTGTTTCACTTCCTTGATTCCCGAAATTTTCAGTGCCGCCCTCGTAGTAGAAAAGTACACGGTCATAATAAATACACTTCCTGTATCTAACAGAAATAAAATTTAAATAAAATAGAAGTACTACAATTAGGTACTTACCGATAGGTATGTAGGTAGATATGAAAATAAAACACTGTCTCTAGAAGATGTTGGAGTCGTGTTGGCTGCTGTGGGTACCGTATCCTAATGGCAGAAAAAAAAGAAGCTTTTCTTTATATTTCTTCCTTATCTCTTCACTTTTATAACCCTTTCACACGTATACATTGTAGGATGATGTTAAGTAGGTATGTTTGTTTGTTATTTTAGAAAATGTTCTACCGCCTGTGGAGGAGATGCCACTTCAGCTGGTCAGCCGAGTCCAATGGGATCATGGGAGGGTAGCGACGCCCATGCTCGCTCTGGCTCCCCGCAGGGCCCGGGAGGTGCTAGTAGTCCAGACTGACACCCGGCAATGCCACAGCACGGTCTCCTGCGTTGAACTACTACTCGATATTCAGGTTGGTTCTTAAGTACTTATCTAACATCCACAACTTATGATACCGAGAATAGTTAGCTTTTCCGTTAGATAAACCCTTAACCCGGTAAATAAACATTTCTCCGATTTATTTGTATAGGTATGTAGTACCAAATCGAAACAAGCGGGGCTGCGAGTAAAAGCTATGGCCAGGGTTATCCATGAATCACGGTCAATGCCAATCCTACTTAGTACTTTTTTCCAAGACGCACCTAGGAAAATTTTATTAACACGTTAATGCAGAACTCATAAATCATCACTACATTGTATTGTGTGATAAGGTTATCTACTAGAACTGAGACTTAATTGCATACCTACAGTTTTAATAAATTATCTGGGCAATTAATAAAAGTGACTGTTAATGTGTAAGTTTTATCAAAAAACTGATAGTTTTCGTTTGTGTTTAGACTGGGGGATAATCTATGAATCGTTTCCGAATAAGCGCTTAATATAAATCCGCCTAAATATTATTGTTGGGATATATTTATTATATAATCGGTGCACTTTGATACGCGCGTGCACACGAGTTAGTACCGCGAATGATGTCATTAACTCGCTGGAGATTAGGTTACATAGATCACGGCGACGGCACTCGCGGCCGATAAAGTTACACCACGGACTAGATACTGCACTGTGCAGAGGACTGTTTGTGGTCTCGTCCTATTAATTTTATTGACTTTAAATCACTAACTGCATTAGACGTATAAAGTCCGTTTTTATGGAAAAAAAATGGAATTAGCACAGAACAGAAGTTCGTGACGTCCCAAGGTGGAGAACATATGACAAGGAGGACTACTATGATCAAATTTTTAGTGGAACATTCTTTCGATACTGCATCTAGAATATGGAAGAGAGAGTGAGATAGAGAAGTAGAGAAAAGAAGAAGAAAATTATAGACCTGGTATAGGCCCAACCAGTTTGTTTTAATAAGATATTATAATTCTTTCGCGAGTTCACAAGTTTATTTGGCTTAATTAATTTTATTCTTTTTTTTCTTCTCTTCCTTTATTATCTAAACCCATCATATTATGTGCAGCAGTTACTAAGTATTTCAACTTTAATTTCTTAGTATTTTTGCTCCATATTTATTTCAAATAATACAGGGTGGAAAGGACAGTTTAGCATTCATTTTAAAGATGAACTTTGAAGAAATACTATGCTGATCGTGATAAACCCTTGTTACAAGTTAGGATTGCGTTGATCACCAGTTTAAATTGACATTTAGTATGGAAATGTCACTTTAAAGCAGTGGTCATAGCGCGCTTAGGTTTTTTGTAATAAGGCACAGGGTGTTTTAGACAAAGTATTTGTTCGGAGACCAAGGTGTGAGTTGGCTATTGTGCTATTTATTTATATTTTCTTGTCGTTTCTTTTCCAGAATAAAACATCCGATGGCCAGAACTTGCCTTACAACTTCTTAGTGTCGTCAAATGGGCAAACGTATGAAGCCCTCGGCTGGCGGCAGCCGTCTTCAATGTTCCCACAGTACTCTGGATCAGCTCTAGTCCTGGCTTTTATAGGTATGTTGTTTTTAACTAATATTATAAAGTTGAAGAGTTAGTTTGTTAGAACGCGCTGACTGCTGGTCCGATTTGAAAAAAAAAGCTTGTTATTATTTCAGTGTTAGATAGCCCATTTATCGAGGAAGGATAGGCTACGTTCATTGCTAGCCCAAAGTAACTATTCTACGCGGATGAAGTCGCGGGCATAAAGTAGTATAGGCATAAAGGTGCTCTCTCACCCGGAGTATTCGCGTGTAATGAGACGTTACAGATTCGAGCATTATATCAGTGAGGGAGGAAACTGACGTTTACAGGGCGCACCTTGTAATGATACAATGTTTAATATACCAACTTACTTAAGTCAAATCTAAGTATAATGTTACACGTGAATACTCCCGGTGAGGAAGCACCTAAGCCGAAACATATACATTCTTGAAAAGTTATATTATTATTCACCAATGAGTATCAGACCCTCGTCACTCGTCACCCAGTCGATGTAGTTACCTACCTACTTACCGGAATTTTTGAAACCATAAATTAATGTATTTACTATAATCTTAAGTAATTGTAGTAAGATTTTTCCTCAAATTAGCGCGAGTAAAACCGCGACCTACAAACATAGTCTGGCCTTCAAGTAAAGGCTGCCTAATCAAAACAGCCTAACTGTTACATAATTATGACAATTGAATTACATAAGTATGTTAATTTTTATGAAGTCTTACAAAGACATATCCTTATAAATTTTCGAAGATCGTAAAAGATATGTTTTAAACTAATAGGTACTTGAAGCATAGGTGATTATGTAAGTTATTAGAAACAAACTAGGCATTTAGCATGCCTACCTACAACTAAGTACCATGTCCGGGTCTTATCATTAAAATGATTTAATTAAAGGTAATAATTGCACTAGAAAAATAATATGTTTACGCTTTGGAAGCCTCAGAATTACAGATAACAAGCGAAAATAACTATCTTAATTGGCCTGTTACGGCTCAAGAGACTCGTAAATCTTCTAGGTGTGGAAGGGTATTGAAGATCACAGGTTCAAAATACCTTCTTTACAACATTATGTTGCTTTGTCTGATTCGTTATCTTCAAGGTCTAGTAACATTGTACTGTGATAGTTCATAGTACGTCATGAAATCAATATTTTATTCAATAGACGGTTCTAGAAAAAAAGCGAAAGGCTTACAGTGGAATGATTTTGATACGACAAATGGCAAAGTTCGGAAATAGTACCCGGCATTGATGGCAGCGCCCTCCAGCAAATGACATTTCAATGTTTTCCAACGTGCCAAAAATCGGAACTAGCGATTCGGTATTGACGGTGGCGCCCCCGTCAATGTCACGGGTAGACGGTTCAGTGTAGGACATCTACATAATTATGTACCAACGCTTGGTCAGACTTGACAAAAGATAAAATAAGGCTGACACATTCTATGGACGCTGTATCATTTTTGCTTGGTCTCCTCTAAAGCGTGCATTAGTTTTGGCAGAACTGTGACACATACATTTTATATGAACCAGTTTATATTACACAGTGCATGATCCATGTCCCGTGTGTGTGTGGCGGGGATCGAACCCGCGTTCCTTAGATCACGAGTCGGCCAGTCCGACATCGTTCACCGTTTGGCTATCGTCGCTTAAATATTTTAAAAGCTATCTAGACACGCAGCAGCGTGTCAAGCCAAGTTCAAGCAAAGGAACTGGCTAGCCAGCGCCGAGTAATATTACACGAACCACTTGGTGACACTATTGATTAATATTATACCATCCATAATGTGTATTTCTTTTTTGTAGGGATTAGAACTCTTTGAATTTGCAAAGACACCCCGTATTATCACACTAGTAAAGAGAGACGTTTATCTTTTGTTTTTGGACGTTACGCACGGTGCGCGGCGTCATTTACTCTCACGCTATTATGATAAGTTTTACTATGGGTAGTCATATAAGTATAGTACTGAACTTTTTTATTAGTGTTGGTCAAGATGTTTTACCCGACTGCGCCAGAAGGAAGGTTATGTTTTTTTAATATACCTATTCCAAAAAAAAACCCATGTTTAATACCCTTTGTGGTACCTATAGGATAAGTATTGTTTGATCTGGGACATCTAGTCCCAGATTCCAATGTGTATTCCAAGAATATATATTTGTTCAATAACACAAATGTCTATATTTTTTTTATTTCAGGTAACTTTACCACGATTGCTCCTACGCACGCCCAACTGACAGAAGCGAACAAGTTCTTTGCAGTGTCGGTGAGCCGTAAATACCTACACCCCGCGTACACAGTCATTGGAAAAGCCACTAAAAGTTACCCAGAGACCTTATTCTCCAGTTTGAAGCAACTCCCTCAATGGGACAGCGAATTATCTGACAAATCAAACACCTAGTCCTTTCTTATTAGAGCAATAACGGCGTAATCACAATATCAACGAATTAAAAAACAATAGAAACGGAAATCTGATTAAATATCCGATTATAGAAACGTGATTTGTTCAACAAATTCACACGATGCGATATCGTTTTTTACCTATTTACAAGTTAAAATGGGTGACTTTTTTGTCGTTATCACTATTTAAATAATGTCGTGTGAATGATTATTCTTAATCTTATCGCGGTATCACGCAGACTGTTGATAGTATGTCTACTGTGTTCACATCAAACGGATTCCCATATATATAATGTCATACCATAATCCTTTATGGGACGCAAACAACTTGAAAACCGAAGTACATAATTATTTGAATTGTAATAAAAACATGTCTTTTCAGTTTTTGTGATGGAATTATTTTGTTGATAATTTAGGCAATATTTGAGTATAATAATTATGTATAAATAGATGTAAGTTGAAACAGTCGTTACCAAAAAAAAAATAGGTTAATGCGCACAATAAATTTAGAAAGTACCTAATAATAAATTGGTAATTGCTCCATAATATTACTTTTTGTTGGCTTATTATTGTATTACGTAGTAATTTAAGTGACTACGCAGAAATAATAGGTTATTAATAAAAAAACATAATAGGTTAAGTATTATGTAACAATTTGTCGACGTCACGGTTACGGTCTCCTATTAAACGCTATACGCGACGTACGACGTCATCGTCAAAATGTTTCTATCGACGCCATAATGGACAAGTTTCCAATTTTTATCTTTGAATAAATCTTGAGAATATAAGCAGGCCTGTTCATCTCCGCGAGTTTGCATCGAAAACAAAACACGCGCGACTACCCCTCCTGAGATACCAAATCGACAGGACAATCACGAGCGAGTATTGACGTACGCACGTATTCTTCACCCATTTGCATTGTAAAGACAATAAACCATATGTAAAAACGGTGGTGCAATTAATACTCTGCAGTATTTTTTAACTGCCTGAATAATATTAGAAACACAAAATATAATTCATGCTTATTCATGTATTTCCTCCTCCATTTTTCGCAGTTTGGCACCTCACGTCACACATCATTTTACCGAAGTCAGCCCTATGTCTTCGGCGCAGTACCGATCACTGACGTTTGTCAACAAAATGGTGCTCGACTCTTGAGACAAGCTAAATTACACCATATTGTTAACGACATTGAGCATACATTTTTTTAAATACCTTCGCGAAGAAAATCTTCTGTACGAAGTACTTATTATTATTCTGTGATATAAGTAAAACTAATCATAATTGCGAAAGAATCATGAAAATATCTCTACAAATACAAAAGTTACAGGGCCCTAAAGTTGCGCATAAAAATGTTCGCGCCATGGATTTCAAAAATTACTTCACCGGCTTTTTAGTTTTGGTCTATATTTTTCCCATTCAGTGAAATCTAATGTTTTCTTCTCCATTATAGCGACGTCAATGTCTATGAAAGAGACCACAACGTACTAACATTTTCTATAGTAAGCATTATCAGGCCTGGCTCACTCCGCGCGGTACATCCGATAATTACCTACAGCGAAGCGCCCCGCCGGCGGGTATTATATCAGTCGAGTGTCACGCGCGCGCCCGTCAGGACGCTGGCGTGCGTTGTAGTATGATTATAATTCTATGATCGAAGTATTATTTAAAAATGGACATAAATAGAAAGAAATATTGTGCGGCGTTCGGGTGTTTAAATTCGAAAAGTAATCTACCGGATTTATCTTTTTTTTTCGCTTCCCAAAGATGCTGAAAGGTATGTTGGCCATGTAGGTAATCAATAATTCTTAGGATAGTATAGGAACCTAACCTACTATGAAGGTTTTCCATAATGAATGCATACTTACCTACATACGTACCTCATTACAAATAAGTAGATTAATTATTTTTTCACTAGACAGCAACCCTAACAGCGTAAGAAGAGTTCAGAGGCACGCGATAGAAAGAGACAAAACTTGTAGGTGAATAAAATTGTAGGTACGTAGTGCTGTGCGAGCTGAATTCCACTGTATCGCGTCGTAGCAAGACTCGCATTTATTTAAATCGTCTTGCGGAGTAATCCTTCTGTACCTGTACTATTACTTATTCTGTGGCATTATTACGCTACGGCTTTTATGGGAGACCACAGCCTAAGGTTTAGGTTACTAAGGTGTACTGTTTTAAGGACATTGCACATTTATAACCCGGAAAGGGATATCGTAACCATTAAACTCGAGAATACTGACTGTATTCTTTGTATGGAACTCCATACTGCAACGCACACTTATCCGCATCGTAACGTAAACGCCTCGCCTCGCAATTGACAGCGCGAATGAAAGGCGATGACAGCTCGCGAAAGGCGATGTGGTCTTGTTGATCCCTTTCCGAGTTAAAAGTCTGCTATGAGCTTTACTGTGTTCTGACAATGAGGTTGTCATAAATATCGACACAATTGCGCTTGATCATTCCATTTTAATCTCAATAACATATCATTATTTTATAATTTTTAGATAATGTACCTATGTATTGCTTTTTTGGTTATAAATAAATTACGCTTGTTGCTTTTATGAATACACAATTTTGTTACATTATTATTTAGTTTAATTATAATAGTTTATCCTATTATTATCATACAAGCAGATGCGATTGTTATTTCTCTAGCTTGAATACGTTATGTTAAGTCGAAATAATTTCGTTTTGCACTGAAAGATTAGTGTCTTTTCTCGAGTATCAGATGGGTTTATTGGTCTTTTATCTGGGTTAGTTAAAAAGTATTAGGCCCCAGTATACGCGACCAGTTTGAAACCGGTTTGAAATGGTCGCGTCATGTGTGGTCTCTCAACGGAATCTATGGCAGAAACTTAGATGCAACTCAAAAGTAACTAGAAGTTGCAGTTTCGTTGCAATTGCGTTTCACCGTGTGTTCTGGGCCTTAGTGTTGTTATCAGATCAGATCAGAAGTAGTGTTAATGTTCATTTATTTATAAAACACTAGCTGACCCGGCGAACTTCGTACCGCCTTAGCGTAGAGATTTTCTTTATATTTTTTCCGTAAAAATCTTGTACTTACAGAGTATTAGAAAACTACAAAAAAAAATCAGCCAAATCGGTCAAGCCGTTTTCATGTTATGTCGTGACAACGGAAAACTGGTTTCATTTTTATATATAAAACATAGGTGGCATATTTAAATAGCTTCAAAAAAACTTCATTTTGCTAGTGAATAACTTATTTAAGAATAACTCCACCTATTTCTTATGGGCTTAACTATCTGTTAAAGAAAACTTATTTACTCATTTTTCATTAATACTTATCTGTAGTAACAAGATAATTTTATTATCAAAAGTTCTTGCCGCTAATTTTTATAATAACCAGTTGTAAACTATTGGTTATTGCTTGCGACTTAGCGAATGTATTTTGTTAGATCTCAATGCGAATATTATTAGAGTTATCGTTGTTGTTACAAACAAACGTTTGTTCCCGTTGAGTCACACCATTTTGTGTAAAACTGTTACTCATTGGTAAAAACAATACCGATTAGTAACACTGTGACTCAATGCCATATTTTTTTCCCTTTGAGTAACAGTGTTGTTCCCTTTGTTTATACACGGTGTTCCGTAAATGGGTTTATAAGCCGACACTAGCCCATGTTAACATAAATGGTATGGTAAAGTCAGAAAATTGATATCATCACACGATTTTAAAGATTGACGTAAGTTGCTAGCATTTTCATGCATTTAGGGAGTAATGAATAATTACATAATATTATGTATCATGAGACGAGTTTTTTAATCGCCAGTGACAAAGAAATTTAATATACCACGTTAAACTATTCTTGAAATCTTCAGGCAGTCGAAAGATTAACATTTACCTAATCATGTTACGGAACTAAATCGACATCAATATTTCCTTCGCATTTTTTGTCTTCAAAAAGTTATCATTTCCTTATTATTATTAATAAGCTATTTTCTTATTTTAGATTGAAGTTAAATATAATTTTAGCACAGATTACGATGAAGCATGATCTCTTTTGATTTTATCACACAACATACCTCAATTTTTATCTATTTTGATTTAAATCTGTAAAATTATTATTAAGTTGCTTTCATCTGCGCAATCACCACAACACAAATTTTCATTCCGTCATATTGGGTTCTTATTTGGTAATTTTATCTAAGTATAGTAACACTTACTGTATTAAGTGTTGGTGTAAGAAGCTGTATAATATTCAACTAGTTCATATTTTAATCATTTTTGCTTCCTTATAATATTATGTAGACTAAATTTTGTACGTGTAGTAGGTATGTAAAACCTTTAAGTGTTCAAGACCGTGCGTAAGGAACGAAACATCGGTTATAAAACTGAAACTGCGCATTTTATGTAAGTCGCCAGTAAGTCAACACACAATGCCAATCTATGCTTTTGAATCACAAAAATCTTCGCTTACCCGTCTGGCCAGCGTAGAGAGTTAGGTCAGATCCGTTTAAATCAGTCGTGCTCCTGCAAATGGGACTAACGCCCGTATTCACAAACATTACTATGAGGTCTCACAGTGCGCGTGCACACAGGGTGACACACGAACCAATCACAGAGCTCTATTCAAAGTTGTGCGTTCTATTTGCTGCTTCACTTAGCAAGCATCGTTTGTGAATACGGGCATTAAAATGACCTGATTATGATGAGGATTAAAGACTATACCCGTTTTCACCATATCAAAACAAAATTCTTGTTATATGTTACCATAAGGCTTAAAAATTAGGGATTGATGGTGAAAACGGTCATCAGAAGCTCAAAATTCATTGAAACAATTCGTCTTGGCTTAAAGGTTGGCTTACTGTCAAACATTTGATCAATTTAAACCATCTTTCTATTGTAGTTCGTACTCCAAAAGTGATGACTTTTTATGTAGATAGAATGTAGCGATAAGTAGGGACATGTCATGATTTAGGCAGAATGTCTGCCAAAGTTCTAAGAACTTTCTAGATTTTCTTTCTAGACATCATATTTTAATCTGTAGCACAAAAATGTAACGTATCGCGTAACTGTGATTGAAAAATAAAAAATATTTAATTTAATGTAATAATAATATAATATTCACAGACTAACTATTAATAATGTTTAGATATTTTCATAAGACAGGAGTAGAAGCCTTTGCTATTATGGCCTAATGGCCAAGTTAATACTTAAAATACTCTTTGAAGGAAAATTTTATTTAGAATATTGTTTGTTTAGACTTTACTTGCATACTGAAAAACAAAGCTTTCTACTCAATTTTTTACTTTGTTATATTTCGTAGTTAAATGAACTCTGCTTTTATAACCATAAACCATAAAATTTTAATAAAAACAAAAAACTCCAAATTTATTTTCTTTATTTATATTTTAATATAATGTGTACCATAATCTACTGTACAGTGTCATGTAAATTTAGTAAACGAAACTCTATTTAAAATATGAGCTTTAGTTTTTTACTCATAGTAATTTAAAAAAATATGGAAACTAAACACTTGAAAATATTACATAGATTACTTTGTGTAGTNATATCATAAGGGGTGTCAATTTTTGTTGAATTTCATAATTTATTGTGTAAGTTAAAAATAATTGAGATATTTTTTTTCCTTATTTTTCCTAAAGTCCTGTGGCGTCGGCTTATCCTTGAATTTTGGGACACGTTGTATACATAGTTGGTCAGGGAATTTTGAAAAAATTGTCAGGGAAAGTCAGGGAAAAGTCAGGGAATTTTTTTGAACATTTGCAGTGGACACCCTGAGTAATATTAAACTAAAGAAGAGATACGTATGTGTACAGTGCAATTAATAGAACTCAGGACATGACAATATTCATAATACTTATTTTGTACATATAATTGTCCACATACTTGCCTAAATTAAAATATATAATTTGCTAATTAGTATCATAGCTAAAATAGGCTTCACTAACATACATTGTCTTAATGTTATAATAGCGTTTCAAGTAGGTAAGTTATTTCGGTACCTTGGTAGGCACAGATACAATAATACAGAAAGGTCGGATCAAAATTTCCGATTTTTAAGCGAAAATCATAGATTAAGCAGTCTTAATATTTTGCAGAATGGAATTGCAATGTTGTTGAGATTCAGTTTACCCCAACCATATAAGAATAAAATATGCATAGACGAAGATATCAAACTAAAAACAAACCCAGAGTTTAAGATGAAAAGGGACAAATTCCTGTTTAGAGAATTTAGCGTATAATTGCCTAACAATTGTTTTAATATACGATTTCAGTTAATTCAAATCCAAAACATTTGCTCTGGGACTAATAATTGAGGCATATCACATTCTTATCTTGAAAATTAATGAGCACCTTGGTGTTTACAATATAATAGTACAGCTGTTGTCATAGCAAAACTTTATAAGATATAAATATTATGTTATGCAATAAATATGATGTGCCTCAAAAGGGTAACATGGCACCAATACTAAATCAAATAATTGAATAATTATCGATTTCAAAGCCATTAACCGTAAATTTTCAAAACAAACAGTTTTAGTTAATCTTTTGACGTTTTTTATGAATGGTGACATGTAACCCTATGTCCCGATGTACCTAATCCAGCTATAAAGAACAAAACGAACATTACCATTCATTTCAAAAATGTGTCACGATTAATACACACATTTAAAAGTAAGTGAGCTCAATCTATTTCTAGTTTTCTAAAGCTTCCTTCCACTGATATTTGGTCTGGCTTGTTTTTTACTTTTGAGGACGTGATCCCTCTTGTGCTTAGTATCTCCATTTCGGTGAGATGGCACACTTTCTTTCGCTGGTCGCTGAGGATCTGTTTGGTGAAGGAGATCATCTCCTGCAAGGGTATTTCTCCACCGTACACCGTTGGGAGACAAGCGACGTCTATGTTTTTGTGCAACTGCTTGAGTGTTGAGTGGGTCTGTGAAAAAAAAAAGAAAATTAATCAAGATTATCATATGACTATCTATACAGGGTGTTAGGTAAATGGGTATATGAGCCGACACTAGCCCATGTTAACATGGGCATATNGCGGTTAACTCCCGTTCCCGTAGGAATTTTGCAATATCCTGTTGTAACTAAGCTTTAAGTTTACTAAGGTACCTGCATGCCAAATTTCAAGCGTCTATCTTACGCAGTTTAGATTTTTTCATACAAATGTTTTTTCCCGCTAACTCCCGTTCCCGTGGGAATTTTACGATATCCTGTTGTACCTAAGCTTTAAATTTACTAAGGTACCTGCACACCAAATTTCAAGCATCTAACTTAAGCGGTTTAGATTTTTCATACAAAAGGATTTTTCCGCTAATTCCCGTTCCCGTGGTAATTTCGGAAATTCCTTTCTTAGTGCACTTCTACGGTACCTAAACTACGTCCCTTCCAAATTTCAAGTGCCTACGTTTAGCCGTTTGGGCTGTGCGTTGATCTGTCAGTCAGTCAGTCAGTTTCTCCTTTTATATATTTAGAAGATTAGATACCAAGTAATTATAATAAGACTTATGATATATGAAAAGTAAATAGGACTTGATAAATAGATTATTATAGGCACCCATAACGGCAGCGATAGTTGCGGGACGAACCTAGAGGGGTAAATGTGTATGTAAATGGATACGCGGAGTTATGGGTGTTCACTGGATTTGCTCACGGATAAATGTATTTTGAAGCCCTGAAAGCAAAAGTAAGGGACGTCAGTTTCTAATTTTAGTAGTTTTCTAGTATTAATAACTAAACAGGTAAATAAAACCCTTGATTTTATATAAATTAAAGTCAATAAGAGATATTGACCAGAAACTAATACTTATAGTAGGTATTTTCCTTATTACATTACCTGTCAATTTATTTCAAGTTCATCATGAATATTATGATGTGGGCAGGTCTTCCGCACAGTTTGTCTATTTAAATATTTAAAAAAATATAATATACCTAATTGAATCTATTATTAATTTGTAAGCAGTGATAAGCAAACAGCAACAATGTTTGCGAGGTCACGACTTTTTTCGATAGTATTACTACAACTCGGCTGTCAACATACACTTATCTACATCTGAAAAAGCATTTGTTACATAAAGTAATAAAATTCGCCATTGCACTGCAGCGCTGTTACGCTACCTACGTTTTTCGTGGTATAGTGCTAACAAAATTTGGCAATTTTGCGTACCTACCTATAAAATATTATCATGAAAAGCGACATAACTGGCCTAGGAACTGAAGGCTAAACTGTGTTGTCAAAATTTTATAATATTCTCTTTACGTATGACCAAAATGATAACATAAACACTTGCATTTATAACTAATAAATTGATGGACTTGTTTATTGTTTACCAAGTTTTGTATTCGAGCACCAGATTTACCTCCTCTAGATTTTTTACTTAAATACTATACATTTTATAGCATATACAGGGTGTTAGGTAAATGGGTATATGAGCCGACACTAGCCCATGTTAACATGGGCATATAAATGGTATGGTGAAGTCAGAAATTTGATATCACCATTTTATTTTTTTTAATTTTCATGCACAATAAATTTTATAAAATCCGATTTGTATGAAAACAAAAATAATTAAAATGAAGATATCAATTTTCTGACTTCACCATACCATTTATATGCCCATGTTAACATGGGCTAGTGTCGGCTCATATACCCATTTACCTAACACCCTGTATATGCTATAAAATGTATAGTATTTAAGTAAAAAATCTAGAGGAGGTAAATCTGGTGCTCGAATACAAAACTTGGTAAACAATAAACAAGTCCATCAATTTATTAGTTATAAATGCAAGTGTTTATGTTATCATTTTGGTCATACGTAAAGAGAATATTATAAAATTTTGACAACACAGTTTAGCCTTCAGTTCCTAGGCCAGTTATGTCGCTTTTCATGATAATATTTTATAGGTAGGTACGCAAAATTGCCAAATTTTGTTAGCACTATACCACGAAAAACGTAGGTAGCGTAACAGCGCTGCAGTGCAATGGCGAATTTTATTACTTTATGTAACAAATGCTTTTTCAGATGTAGATAAGTGTATGTTGACAGCCGAGTTGTAGTAATACTATCGAAAAAAGTCGTGACCTCGCAAACATTGTTGCTGTTTGCTTATCACTGCTTACAAATTAATAATAGATTCAATTAGGTATATTATATTTTTTTAAATATTTAAATAGACAAACTGTGCGGAAGACCTGCCCACATCATAATATTCATGATGAACTTGAAATAAATTGACAGGTAATGTAATAAGGAAAATACCTACTATAAGTATTAGTTTCTGGTCAATATCTCTTATTGACTTTAATTTATATAAAATCAAGGGTTTTATTTACCTGTTTAGTTATTAATACTAGAAAACTACTAAAATTAGAAACTGACGTCCCTTACTTTTGCTTTCAGGGCTTCAAAATACATTTATCCGTGAGCAAATCCAGTGAACACCCATAACTCCGCGTATCCATTTACATACACATTTACCCCTCTAGGTTCGTCCCGCAACTATCGCTGCCGTTATGGGTGCCTATAATAATCTATTTATCAAGTCCTATTTACTTTTCATATATCATAAGTCTTATTATAATTACTTGGTATCTAATCTTCTAAATATATAAAAGGAGAAACTGACTGACTGACTGACAGATCAACGCACAGCCCAAACGGCTAAACGTAGGCACTTGAAATTTGGAAGGGACGTAGTTTAGGTACCGTAGAAGTGCACTAAGAAAGGAATTTCCGAAATTACCACGGGAACGGGAATTAGCGGAAAAATCCTTTTGTATGAAAAATCTAAACCGCTTAAGTTAGATGCTTGAAATTTGGTGTGCAGGTACCTTAGTAAATTTAAAGCTTAGGTACAACAGGATATCGTAAAATTCCCACGGGAACGGGAGTTAGCGGGAAAAAACATTTGTATGNCGAGTTTGAAAGTTATAGAGATGTCACATAACTAAACCATAGCGATTTATCTATCGATTTTTTTCTAAGAGTTAGTAAAACCTACTTTTAGATAAATATTTTGTATAGGTGTTATTTAACAAAAAACATGTTTTTTTTAATTACAAATATTATTGAAACATTTTTTATTGATAATATTCAAATTCCATAGACTTCATGTTCAAAAAAACGATTCCTAAAAAGTACTGGTTCTATTTCTTTAAATTAAAAACTTTAATTTATTTTCAATGCGCTTATTAAAGTCAACAATCGAAAAATATAGTTGATTTTTGTGATGTTTTTAATAACTTAGTATTCACTGCAATCGATTAATGAACCGCGGAAATAATCGATTTTGTTATTCAACAAATACCCCAGCACTAAATCTATTCCGTTTCACACATTGCGTACATTAAATAAAAAATATTTTTACATCGTATTTAATTAAAATATAATCAATAGACTCAGATTTTACTATATATTTCAAGACAAGTAGTTAATTATTTTTTTATTATATTGCTGATAAAATACAAATATTTTTTCAAGAATATTCTGCGTATGTAGTATGCGTAATATGAATAACCTTAAAGTGTCATACGGATCATCTTAGGTGAAAAAGACTATAGCTTTTGCCTGCAGCTTCCCCGCGTGATTAAAAGCATTATAATATTAGTTTAGGTAATAACTATCTAAAATTTGATCAGAAAAAGGCCTAACTCGTAGAAAAGCTCTTTAGTTCGTTTGCATCCTCTAGTACCTACCATAAAAAAGCTCGTATAAAAAACGAAGCTCAAGGGTACACTTTTAAGCCTCTAATTGGTGTATTTCAATATTTGCACCAGCCACGGGTTTGAATACTGGTATATCTTGAATATCGAATCATAAATTTGAATGGGAACGTGCGGACATAAAATAACTCATTTTAACAAGCAATTTTTAAATTCTATTGTTCAAAGTAGGTACCAAGTAATTTTATGAAACCCTGTTACTGCAGGCGAGAGGTACTTACTAAAACCCCTTTCAAAAAGCGGCCAACAAATCACTAACTAATTACCTCTAACGTCCTTACGAAATGTCCCCGAGACGTTAACAAAAATACATAATGTGCACCTATTTACGTAAACAGAGTCTTGATTACAGGTGTAATGGTAAAACACGTCAATTGCGTTTACGTAATTTTGTGACACTGACACTTGCCGGAAAAGCGACTCGAGCGCAGTCCCATATTGAGGGTACTTGTTACTAGAAAAGATATGCTGATAAACAAGCAATAGATGTCAAGGTGGTACTTCGTTCTAATCTGGGTCGTTATGTTGATGCAACGGTCTCTATTTAGGCTTTTGTCTGTATGTATGTTTGCTTACAATAACATTATACATGCACACCTACCTTTAGAGGTCTGTGTACTTAGCGAGGTCGCAAAGGCGACAACTTTGAAAATGATTAATCATCATTTAGCTCTGCCCGTCTCTACATTAAAGTAGGTAGGTACTTTTATGATGCAAAATAAATATCCCATATTAGAACGACACCAATTTAACGACCTAATAAGGTTATAAATGACGCTATTATACTAAAATCATATAATAATAGTTTGAGGTCAAAAAGATTTTATACAACATGAGAATTTGCGAGAAAATATCTCAGGTGTCAGGAGGCCAATGTTATAAGTTCTTTATAAAATTTATGAGCTCACTTTATTTAACCGTTTTGCTGCTCGAATAAGATAAAAGTGGAATACGCAACTTTAGCTTATTAATCGTTTAATGACGAAAGAATTCCATGTCAGTTCTTTTGTAGGAAGCGATAACCTCTACGCTGCCTTTGTTTGCTCTACCTACTCGTTTACTTAATCCAAGCTGAAGACAATCAGCTAAGCCGCAACAGAATCTAACTCTTTCGAATTTTAGATTAGTTCGTGTGAAGTATCAAGTAGGTAACTTAGGCTGAGTTGCATTTTAACTGTGACTATAACCATAACCAGTTAACCAGGGTTTTTGGAATGGAGTTTGACAGACTTTTGACGTTTGTTAAAGCTAAAGTAAGATGGTGCAACCCAGATTTAGTGTTTGTATGTTATTATGTTTGTACGTACTTCCCCCCACTTCATGAGCCGGGCGAAGTCGGTCGGGTTCCAGGCGGTGACGTGCGCGCCGCTGACGCCGCTCCCGTCGCCGACGTGCGTGAACCCACAGATTTGATCGAGCGGGTCTTCCAACAGACTCTCGTAAATCATGGTATGCACGCGGCACATGTCCCAACAGGTCAGCTGACTCGCGTTGAACCTACCTGGTGGTTCATAAGAAGTCTTCCAGTGACTTGGCCAAGGCGTTGGATTGATTTTTTAAATATTTTTCTTCTAGTAACTGCCCACCTTGAATGTTTTATTAATAAATTAAATACCAAATCAACAAAAATCTACTCTAGAATCAGAGTGGGCCCAGTTGCTGGAAGAATAATATTTAAAAAGTCAATCTAGCGACTTGGCCCGTGGACCAAGCTAAAAGTAAGCCATAACACTGGAAGATTCCGAATAAGGTTTAGATCTAGACTTCAAAAAGCTTTATCCGATCAAAGTCGCATAAAGGGAAATCTTAATTACAAATTACCGAAAAACGGATTATAACCTAGTTTCAAAGACCATACAATGTAGCCCACAGCGGGAGGCCTATATCAGTTTAAACGACTCAGGAGTTTACACTGCGCTATACTTTTTCTTTAACTACGCCCAATTTGCTTAGATAAACCCGCTAGAAGTGGGCGGTAGAGTTGCATCAATGAGCAAACCATTTACAAGTCGAATAAGCAGATTCAGGCCTGCCAAATGTCGGCTCGTACGACTACACCCACTTTCGCTCAGTAACATCGCGTTCAAATTTAATTAACCGTCATTGAGTAATAGAGCGTTCAAGTCATTCTCGCGGCTGCAACATTAAATTTGGGTTTTGTAACTGAAATATAACAATATGAACTTACTCATGTTGTAAACGATGACCCGCCGACCTTTGCTGTCACGGACCGGTGATACGACGACGTACCTTCGAAATTGAAATTAGGAAACCATTTTGAAACGGAAAATCAAACAGAATTATATCACAAAGGTATTCTGCTTATGTAACATAGAAATTTGCGGTGCAACCAGCACGAGCTAGGTTCAAGGCTGTAAGTCCATGGAGGTAAGTGCGTGAGAACAGATCTCGTGACGTGATTAATGTTATCTGCATATCTAATAACAATATATTGCGAGACGCAAAACTTACTAGGTGACCGTGTTATAAACAACATTGCAATACAAAAGCATTTACAAGGGTCCATTCCACGAATTCTCTTTTTATTTAATTAATTATAAAAGTACAAGTCTCAGCAGTAATAAATGAGTTAATTAAAATAATATCACGAAGGTTGCACAATTTAGTCTGGCGCCAATTATATTACTTCTTGATCAGTATTGGTTCATAAAGATTACCCATCAGCAATTTAATAACACAGATTTCCAGCATTTTCAAGTACAGGTTAGTATAACACTTTTAATTACCCATTATTGATGATATCCTGAAGTTTCGAATCTTCGCAGTCTAAATTCATGAATATCTCTGGGTAGTATTTGCGTAAGTTTAGGTACTTCAGAAGTGTCTGCTGGGCCATCGGTATGCTATATTTTTTGTGTCGAAGAAAACGCAACAAGAACGAGTCATCTGGAATAAACGTAATTAAATTCATTAAGTACAAGGTTCTCACTGAAACCATGTTTTTTTAATATTAGAAGAAGAATCGTAAAAAAAACACCCCGAGAGTAATTTTCCTTTTATTGATAACATGACTCGATGATTGTTCATGTTTTACCTTGTCGCACATTTTTGATGTCGCAGTTCTGTTGGATCCACTCCCGCATGATCTTCAGCCCCTGTTCCCTCGTGGCGGGCGTCTCCCTCAACTCCTTAGCGGTCTCGGCTGCGATGCTCTGGGGGGACCGCCCCACTTTCCCCTTGTCGATTTTCTCGCTGTTGAGGTTCCATGTTGTGGACACCGTCAACAAAACGCTTGCGGTCGTCATTTTGATCTACGGTGAAGTTCTGTGAAGAGGTGAAAAGTCATTTTGAGATTAAAGCGCTGATAACAGCAGTACTGTGTACTCTATAAACCAATGCATCAGTAGTAAGTACCTATGTTATCTAATAAAGACTCAGACTAATTACATTTGTCGTTCCCATCATTATTGCAAGTACCATCTACATTCATACGTAGAGTCGCTTAATAAATATAAATATAATAAATATCCTTGGACATTTACACTGCGCTTCTAGTCCCAAACTAAGCAAAGCTTGTACTATGGGTACTAGACAACGGATATAAACATACTTAAATAGTTTTTTTTTTTTTTGTAAATACATACTTATTATACATAGAAAACACCCAGTCCAATACAAACAAATATGTTCATGCACACAAATGTTTGTACTGTGCGGGAATCGAACCCGCTACCTCCGGAATAGTAGTCCGTTTCGAACCACTACACCAAACGGCCGACGGCTTAATATGCAATTTTCGAATTTAAACACTGGCGGGCGAGTCAGAATGACCATACTCGTATATGCTTATTTACCTTAAGCATTTATTCTTTAGCTTATACTTTTAAAGGTACCTACCTATCCAAAACAAATTGAAACAAACTATCAAATTATTTGTAATTTATTTATTGATTTTATCGAAAGTCACACATTTCCAACGCCAATATTACACTACCTGTTTAACTTTCTATAGATTATTTTGAAATGAAATCTGCTACACTCCCGAGCACATGCATCGTAAACTGCGACCAGGTAGCCGGCGAACCAAATGCACGAGGATGCACCGCTAGATTAGCAAAGCCCTGGAAGACTTCAGGCTTGCAGTTATGCAGCTTCCCTAACATTACTGCAGCATCCTTGTACGCCGACGGATGAATCCTCTCTATCTCGCTTTGATTAAACGCGCATAGTATCTGCCTCAACGCTGTCAAGTCATAGTACGAGTAGTCCTCAGGCTCCTTTCCCGCAAAATCTTCCCGTACCCGAGCAGCTATGGCCGCCAATTGTTCTTCGCTCAACTTATAATTCAACCCAAAATTTTGTATAACATCAATGTTGCTGAGCGTCAAATTATTGTAGTCATCCGGCGTCAAAGCCGGCGTGACCCAGTGGAGAATCATAAGAATATTATCTGGAACGTTTCCAATGCCACCGTGAAATCTAACAATCGATTGCCATATGAAATCCGCATCCTCTTGCGGCAACTGCTCCTTTCCCAAATGGGCCAGGCACTGAACCATATCTTTCGGCTGAAGAGTTTGCAATTCATTCAATGTTAGCCTTTTGCTATCCGGTAACTCCAGAATTTCGTTACATGTTAAACTGTGAGCTAAGAGAACATTTGTTAGTATAATCAAGAACATCAACATTTTTTCTTTTCAGCTTAAGTTTTGAGCTGTCTACTAACATGTGACTCTTGATAACTTCAGTACAAGAATAAGCTTGTTTTCAGATCACGGTAGGAGTAGTCGCTTCTCATAGATAATTCAGGTTTCAATTAAGTCGTAACAGTGACGTGGCCTAACTATGGCATTACACGTACGTGGGTGAGTTTAACTGGACACTGAAGTCGTGTAAGCTAAAATGTACTTTATTTGTGTACAAATGAAAGTTATTTTGCTTCTAATAAATGCTACTGCCTTCTGGTTGTGATGATTTCTTCATCAGTTTCACTGTGTTATCGATCGTTCGCTGCTTAAAATAGCCAGTGGTGCCTTGTAGGCTACATTCAGACTTTGTTATTGCTTGCATACCTACCTAGTTACTTTAATGACCTAAAATGTCTTGGTGTTAGAGAGCAACGGAGGAAAGTCGATTACATTTCAAACTCCTATATTCTTCCGATTAAATTCTTTGGAGACATTTAGCTATCCCCCGGAATTACCGAAAATATAAACAAATAAATAAATAAATAAATAAATAAATTACTCAACCTTCGCTGGTTCTCCTTGGGTGTCATTGGAGGCCAACTGTCGATCATGGCTATACAGGAGTTGCAGAGTTGGGAAAGTGGGATAAATCTCGTTTGGTCTCTTCGGATGTTTATAATTATTGGAAGGCATCGTCATTGATACTTAACAACCAACGTTGTTGCATTTTCATGCTTACATTGCATAGTTGTTACGGATGTGAGCAATACATTGACATCACAAGGGCCCTTGACTACCAATAATTGTTGGTACGAAATAGTGAACATCACGTTTATAATTAAAATTCAATGACTTGCGGTTGCAAAACTTAACACGCTACATTTTCAGAACTTGCAAAAGAGTTCAGTTAGTCAACCGAGTCAATATTGCCGACATTTATACTCGTACCAACTATCAACTGCATCTACTTAGCACGTAACGTGCGTTATGCTGTAATAATAAATTCAATAAGCGTTTTCCCAGAGTAAGTAAATATGTGCATTTCTGTAGGTATTTTCAAGCAGCACAAATTATTAATATTGTACTTATGTAAGAATTAAATAAGTAACAATAACGTTTACCTTGTACATATTAATTAACGAGCTGAAAAACAGAGAATTAAGAGAGTAAGCACTGTAAAATAGATAAGCAATTATTTAGTCATTTGTTTTTTTTAAGATTATTAGCAATTTGTATTGCACAAATTACTATTAGCCCCTCGTGTTAAGCTAAATAAGCTTGTGTTACGAGTGGGCTCACCACACCACAATAGTCGAGCGCGGCGGTGGAATTCGAACCCGCGTTCCTCGGATCTCGAGTCGGTCACTCCGACTCCTTCCCCGTTCGGCTATCGTGGCTATAATAATGTTAAAACTTAATTACATATTTTTCTGTCCATTGCCAGCTTAAAATTACCTATTTGCTTAGAGAGTGACTCGACAACCAACTAACCTGTTTTATTAATTGTGCACTTCCTTTAGTCTAATTTACAACGTATCGCACTACAATAGGTGTTCTAGTCATTGGCAATAAGATATTGAGCAACCACGTTGTTGCCGTTAACAATTGATGACACAATAACATATTTGAAGAATTAGAAGTCGGTCTAAGGCAGAGCAAACACGCCCGGGTTTTGGTTGTGATAGAGCCAGAGCACACGATGCGTTGCGGTGCGGCGACGCGGCGGTGCGACTCTGGAGCGGTGTCGCTGCGTCGTCTCCGCTCCGGCAGCGGACATGGATAATAAATCTGTGGCTAACGAATTCTTTGCGGTGCGTCGCCGCAAAGCATCGTGAGCATTCGCTCTTACTTGCGTACTATGACAAACGTCGTCAAACGTTGCGTAGAGGCCATGGCATCCGCACCCAAAACCGGTGATTTATTACCAAAACGATCGCAACACGACCACCATGTAATATTTCGATTACGGAACGAGCACAAGAGATGAAGCTTGCTTAACTTAATTAATAGTATTTCATCGGAAAACTTGCGATCAATAGGCTTTAATCAATCGTTAAGTTCTTGACACTCGGATATAGTATGTCATTACTGTCAAAACGTTGTTAAAAATATTTAAATTACGGTGATTTTTTCGAAATTGTCTATTTATTAAAAGTTGCCTTACTTTTCGTGCGCTTACTATCTAAATAGGCTTTATTAATTTATGTTGTTACACTTATAACCAGACCTGAAAATGTAGTCCTTGGTAACATTCTTGGAAATTATGGGAATATGAAACAAATATTTTGAATGAAAGTTCAATTTGTGAATGAATATCCGGAAGTCATAATAGCTATGTAAGAGCAAAAATACAATTTCCTACATCATGATCAAAATAATATTAATTTATGACAGTGAGTGTTGGTAATTGTACATGATTATATGTATAATATAATTATGTAGGTATTAAGTACATAGCTACTTAGTTTATTTGCTGTATCTAGAGTCATTCGAAGTCAGGGCACATGTCTACGAGTTAAAAAAAATATTCAAATCATCAGTTTTCGAGGATCTTCTGTCGTCATGTCCACATATCTTATTTTTTGACAAAAAATATGTGCGTAAGCGACTGTCCTTGTCAACATGGCGAGTCGAAATCTCGGATGTAAAAAATAAAGCCTATTTGAACTATTTGGCTTAGGCTGCTCTAGGCCAATATTTACGTTTACATGATTATGAATTCCTTGCGATGTGACAATGATAAATATCGATTGGCAAATGTTTACCTATCCTTACAGACCTGTTATTAAAGTTCCGTGTAGGGTGGAGGTATACAATTATAGTAATAAACCATACCTTTACTAACTACGCCGATAGTAACAAACTGCCACTCAATGCTAATAATAACTACTTATAGATTCTCATGCATGACCCAATAGTTATTTTGTTTAATTATCCGCCCTCCAACAGTCCAGTCTCCCCTCATATACCTTAACCTATACATAATTACAGAGATTATACATATATTAGGTACGTGAGCGATGGGGATGCATCCGCGTGTTTATCAATCGATCGAATTGCCAACAACGGTTGGCCTGGCAATATAATAAGCAAGTTGATTCTGGCTGATAATATCTTACTTGATTGTAAAAAAGGTTTCCAATGTCTATCGGAAAAGTTTCATCCAGCAGTGCAAGTAAATAAATAATAAATATAATAAATATCCTTGGACATTTTAGGTACACTGCGCCGCTAGCCCCAAACTAAGCAAAGCTTGTACTATGGGTCCTAGACAACGGATATAAACATACTTAAATACTTTTTTTTTGTAAATACATACATATTATACATAGAAAACACCCAGTCCAATACAAACAAATATGTTCATGCACACAAATGTTTGTACTGTGCGGGAATCGAACCCGCAACCTCCGGAATAGTAGTCCGATTCGAACCACTACACCAAACGGCCGACAAATAGGTATAGTTCCAAAATACTGAACTGTCCTATGCATGACATTGACAGTGGGGAGCTCCGTCAATACCGGATCGCTAGTTCCGATTTTTGCCATATTGGAAACCATATACTTAGTAGAACGATGGTAGCGCCCCCCTGTCAATGAGTTTGGTGGGATCACAGAAAATCGAATCCGTCAAAACTCCATACAAAAAAGGGGCTTTTCGACCACTTTTCGACTGGTTTGCGATTATAATTTGCACTTTGTCTAGACCCACAGCATGGGTCATCTATATGTCTACTTTATAAATTCTGAGACAACATATCGATGATGTTTTACAGGAAATACAATTTGCAATTAAAGGATAGTAAATGGGCACATACAACTAAAAACTAGACAGATATTAACTATTTTTAACTAATCGTTATCCGTATACTCGTATTACGTTTACAGTGCAGCGACAAATCTTTAGGTACCCATAAATACAAGTTTATCAATTAGGTAATTAGTAGGCACAGACGCACATACCACAATAACAATCTGTTCGGTTATTAAATACGGGCATTTTGCTCATCCCAACTAATATTATAAATGCGAAAGTAACTCTGTCTGTCTGTCTGTCTGTTACGCTTTCCCGCTTAAACCTCGCAACCGATTTTGATGAAATTTGGCATAGAGATAGTTTGAGTCCCGGGAAAGAACATAGGATAGTTTTTATTTATCCCGGTTTTTGAAACAGGGACGCGCGCGATAAAGTTTTTCTGTGACAGACAAAATTCCACGCGGGCGAAGCTGCGGGCGGAAAGCTAGTATTTTATATCTGAATGCTAAAAGTTTCCTAAAAATAACTTTCGATTACATAACAATAACAACCAACGCGTCGTGACCTACATTGCGTATCTATTTATCACCTGGTTGTAAAAATATTACATTTTACGTATAATAAAAACTGGCCTAGTAAGAGAAACAAGATATCACGCATGTAGAGGATTTCCGTAACACTAATCATACAAAACTTTAAGAAGAATAAAATTGGTTGTTAATTAATTGACTGACTTTTAAATGTAAAAAACATTATAAAAAGTATAAAATTAAACTCAATATTTTTATACATACATAACTTATTTTATAAAAGCAATTTTCAGTGTAGGTAGGAACGCATTTTTTTAAAATTGTGCGCGAATGGCTAAAATTGCTAAACTAGTCCCGTATTTACCCCTTGGGTAGGTACGGAACCACAAAAAGATATCGGAGTTCCGCAAACGGTGTACCGCGGCACACTGGTATGCCGTGGTCATTTTAGATGGTGTACCTACCTCGGAAAAATAAGATTATCTTATCTTAAATATAAACTTATTTTTAGTAAGTAAGTAAGGGATTCTGTGGTAAGGGTAAGACTAATAAAGGTAATTACTTAAAAATGACTTTTCATGTGTGTGTACCTCCAAAAAATTTCGTTTTCCTAGATGTAACGAGACGAAAATATATCTATCTACGTTATGTGGCATGAATGTTAACAGTTTCTGGCTTAATAAAAATATGTTTTAGGGTACTAACCCTTTAAAAAGCCTTCCCGGTCTACCTTATGACTACATAAGGTAGACCGGGAAGGCTTTTTAAAGGGATACAGTGACCTGAGACTGCGATCTCTGTCAATTTTCCAGTGACTTGGCCCACTTTTGGCTTGGTCCACGGGCCAAGTCGCTGGATTGAATTCTGAAATATTTTTCTTCTAGTAGGTAACTGGGACCACTTTAAGATAATAGAGTAGATTTTTGTTGATTTGGTATTCATCATCATCATCATCTCAGCCATAGGACGTCCACTGCTGAACATAGGCCTCCCCCTATGCTTTCCATGTTGCCCGGTTGGTAGCGGACTGCGTCCATAAAATTACCTAATTTGCATTTTCAGTTAACCTGGATTTTCAGAAAACCTAGAGTTTTCTAGGTTTTTCGATATAAATTATGTTTATTGGACGAGAAGTAATAAAATAGGGATGATGACTGGGTAATGAAATCGAAATTCTATTTAGTACGTCAGACAGATTATTAGAAAATATTAGATTCATATTTTTTATTTTTTTCCATAATCGAATAATTAATTACAGTATTATATTGAGTTGAAATGTCGCGTGACGTCACTTTTGAGTAAAAATTCTACTCAAACGTGACGTATCGTATCACGCCATTTCAACTCGATGTAGGTATTATAGCACTTTTATTATTTAATTATGAAAGAAAATAAAAAATATAAGTCTAATATTTTCTAATTATTTGTATGACGGACAAATAATTGAAATTTTGTCATCTAGCCTATTACCCAATTTGCATTTTCAGTTAACCTGGATTTTAAGAAAACCTAGAGTTTTCTAGGTTTTTCGATATAAATTATGTTTATTGGACGAGAAGTAATAAAATTGCCTAATGTGCAATAGATTTATTACCGAAATTACGATTCTGAAAGTAATTTTAATACAAGCACATGTTAAAATGTTAATTTCGCGCTTAATAAAATGCAAGTTAGAGACTTGATTAAATATTCATTTGTGAACTTTCAAAAGCCGTGCACTTAAGGACTTGGGTGAATTGAGAATTTGAGATGAACCCCATTAATGTATGTTTAGCTCTGATTAGCAAACATACGACACGGTTATAGTCTTATCTGATCTTGTATAATATTATGTAAGCTCCACTGTAAGCTTTATAGCGGCTATTAAACTTTTCATGCAATCTGGAATACGGCTAAGTAGGAATTCGACCGCAGAAAGCAACTCGCCGACAAGAATCGCGTTGTTGACCTGAATTCAATCATGATACTAATCACGATTAAAATAAGAAAATTAAAAAGTTACAACTAACCCTATTAGGTAAGTACCCCACCCCACTAACTAAAGTCTAACCGATAATAAGAAATATAGGACCTAATCACCTAAGATATGGAAAAGTTGAATCTTTGGTAATTTATTTATTGTAAAATTCATACTAAACTTATATCTATCTATTAAATAAAAATGAATTGATGTTCGTTAGTCTGATTAAAACTCGAGAACGGCTGGGCCGATTGAGCTGATTTTGGTTTTAAAATGTGTGTCGTAGTCCAGGGTAGGTCTAAACGGTGAGCAAATACGCGGGCGATATTGTTTTTCTGTGACAGACAAAATTCCACGCGGGCGAAGCCGCGGGCGGAAAGCTAGTCATACATAAAAATCACCCTAAATGTAGATGATGGAAATCGTAAAAGCCTTCAGAGCATCATGCGTACACTTTGTAAATAAAAATCGCACTTGCAAGTTGAATCTCATTAAAAATATTACATGAACTGCATTAAAAAAAAACCCTAACTCTATTACTGGTTCTATGCGCAACAGCAGTTTACTTATTGCATTATTATAATTTAACGTAATTAGAGTGTAAATAAAATAAAAACATTAACAGGAAAATAGGTCACGAAAGAAACCTGCGGACGTTTCGAATCACTTCGTCGTTCGTGTGTTTGTGTAACGCCTGAATTTTTAGTCTTGACTGTCTTTTACACAGTGTTAAACTTGAAGTGAACCATCATGACATAGAATTCACGAATACTGAAACATAATTGTATTACGAGTATGCTCATTAAAAATAAGTTTTACAAAACCCCTTTAAGTCACTATTGTTTTTAATAAACACCAATAAGTACACTATAGAAGTGTAATAATGATTAATTAACAGGTTTTTTTTATTAATAACTGAAAATGCACTCACGCGATGTGTTTTGGCGCGTAACTTGAAGTCCCGTGCGCGTACGCGTGTGAGCCGGCGCGCAGGCGCGAAGTGTGTGCGACGCCGCACCGTGTCGCCGCCGCTTCTTTTTACTTTTTCATTGTTTCCAACTGTGGCTTCCAACCAGCCATGATCGTGTCCAAATGTGTGCAACACGTGAAAACGAGAAGACAACTTAGATGGATGGCTAAAAATTCATACTCTCATTACCACCAATGCAAGTCGCGTCGATGGTATGTTCAGGTCCTATTATACAGGGTGGCCCAAAAGGTGACACAATTTTTTTTTTTTTTTTGGATTACTGTCATGTAGTTGTACCCGGATGTTCAGCGATTTTGTGTAGTTTTCGAGCTGCGAGGATAATTGACTTGATCTTCTTAAAAATTTTTTGCTCGGAAATTAGACCTCATGACATGTACCTTCACACATAAATACCCAGTTTCCTGCCGTTGATGTACCTTAGCCAAATAATAAGACGTAACAAATATAAGTTCAGAAATGTTTATTTGATAGCTTAGAAACATTCAGTCGAGAAAACTTACGAGAACTAGATTTAGGGCTTAACACTTACTTACTAAGACTGTACTACGGAATTTCGAAGTTGTACTGTTTTGGAATTGGAGATGTATCAGAAAATATTACTTTAATAAGAAATAGTGGGCTGGGCCCATTTCGGATTCTTTCCGGGTGAATAACCCAACGCATCGCCTCTTAGGTTGTCATACGCGCACCCGACGTAAAAGGTATTTCTTCTTGGTACTTCTTCACCGACCTTTTTTGTAATTGCAGCAACACCACAACTTAAACATGCTCTTCGAACGCACTTTTTATTCAAACTATACAGAAATCCATCTTGCACCAACAATTCTTTATTTTTACGTGATTTCACAAATTCATATTCATAAATTAATTTTAAACAGCAAAAAATACACCTCATAATAGGAATGGACTCCTTACGTACGTTTTTGTAATAAATATGATAGTTCCGTTGCAAAGCAGCTCAGCAAACCTACTCTTCAATTTTTTATTAATCGATTCGAAATTCCGTAGTACAGTCATTTACTAAAAGTATCTCAACAAAATTGTTCGTAAAATAACATGTTTAAAATTTTCGTTAAATACATTACATACATATTTTAAAAATATGCTTAGGCACCTGAATACAAATAAGTAATAAAAGTAATACAAACATGTTGTTTTGTAACAAGATGCATCATTGTTCAAGAAAATTTAAGATTCTTCCACACCAACTGCCTAAATAATGAATCCTTGAGCACTCTTAAATCTAAATATTTTTTATAGCCCCAAACCAAAAATACAAGAACGAATCGTCTACTGACATGGATAATTATGTATATTTGAAGAATTATAAGGTTACATATTTATTTTATAAACAACGCCAATTTACTATGTAAGATGATGATCATTCCACAAATATCAAATTTGTGTTTATTCTCTAAAATAATAAAATCTTTGAATTAAATAAAATGTACTAACAATAAATTCCTAATTCAACTTCAGATAAATAAATAGTTATTTATTAAGATACGTTTGTTAACTGACTATAATTTTTGTTGCAAAATGACATAAATTGTTATACTGCTTTTACAAAAATACATTGATAAAACTCATTAAAAAATACTTAATAATTTTGTAAAACATAAAGTACCTTTTAGGAAATATTGTAAAATGATCTACATTATATGTATTAGGATTATACAAGAATTTTTTTAAATATAATGTAAGAACTTAATAATGTATTTTTAACTATGCAAATTTTTTACATAATCAAGATTTTATGATGTAATTTGCAGGTATGAACATTATCAATACACAAGTATTTATGTACAGGAAATATATTATAAAGAATAAAATATTGTATTAATTTTTATGCTTTAATGAAAATTGTGTTCAGTGTAAGAAATTTTATAAAATACAATGTTTTGTGTTGTGTCCATGTTGAATTAGGACAAATTTTTATACTTAAATAAATAATATAAAATTTACAGTCATGTAAGTATAAACTTATTGTTGGTACCTCTTCATTTTCCTTTCCATTTTCTTCCTTTTCTTCTCATCCTGCTCAGTGTCTTGAGGAGCTTCTTGGAAAAACCATGGTCCGAGTATGTGCTTCCACAATAACCAGAAGGCTCTAATGGGCATGAATATCAGGAGCAGCCAGAAGTAGTTAGTAATGATTGCCAGGATATGAGTGATTGATGTGAGAATAACCACATCCTTGATATGTCTGAAAATAATTGTAATAGTCACATTACAATGCATATTGTCTTTAAATTTTTATTTTGTTATGTCTCATAATAATAATATGCAAGTGACTGTATTGTATTGTTAACCCTTCCAAGCCTCAAGGGGTCGCATAAAACCACATAATAATTGATTTCTATTGGTCTTGTTCTGCGAGTAACAAATGAAAATCTTTTAAAATGTTGCTTCTAAATACTACATCACAAAGTTAAAAAATTCACTGACCACAAATAAAATTTAAGAAAACATCAATAAACTTACTCGCCCATGCCGCCTTCCATATTAAGATCAAGTCCAGGATCAATTAACTGATTGTTGTCAGTATACTTCGGTTGGCTCATGCTCCTCATCAGGTGGTAGCATGTTGCATTCAGTGAAATCACTAACACATTCATGCACTGAAGGAAAAAATTTTTATTGATTTGACTTGTAAAACACAAACAAGTTTTTAACATAGTAGGATGGTAAATAACTACTATAAAATAAATCAGAAGCTACTTACAATATTGAAAGGTGTCACACTATCAGCATAGACACAAATCAGAAGAAGCACGTGGAACACCCCTGCACCGACCGCCATATTCCTGTAGAAACTCACTGTGGCAGAGTTTTCCATTAAAATTTGTTTAGCACCTTTGGTAGGGGCTTTCCCTTTGGGCTGAAAAATGAATTTGAATCTTTTAATGAACCGTTTAAACTTCTCAAAGAGCGTAACGCGCAGCATTGGATAAAGATTAATGATCAATATCTGCATTTCAAGTTTCCCCTAAGTACGAGCGTGTTCGCGACTGAAGCTAGGCCATACTTTAAAAATGTACGAATGGGGGTAGAAATCAATAACGTCCTATAGTCATTGTACATCTAGATACCTGAGTGCATAGGCGCAAACGGGACAGTGCAACAAACGAATATTCATAAGCAGATAATGTATCAAACAACATGCTGTGAGGATGTAATACGAAGTGTTTATTGATTTAAAAGTTTAAAAAATGCAAGTTTAATAGAAAAATCGTGAAAATTTTATCTTGAAAATCTAGTTACGCAGAAGCAGATAGAGTAAATACTTACCGGTGGCATTTTGAAGTATTGTATTCAGCCGTAAGTCCTAGTCTTCGAAAAAAGCTAGTTATTTCAGTATTTTAGACTTCATATAAAAATTTTAGTAGAAAAATTGTGAAGATAGAAATAATTCATGAAATCTCAACTAGACCGAAAGAAATTCCGATCCGAACTCCTGTGCCGAACTCTAAAATGTCTAACTCAAAAGACGTCAAATGTCTCCATGTAACTCCATGTGGCAAACGTTCAAAAATAATATTTTTTTAAATAATGCTACGCCTATTTTCTTCCGACTCCAAGTTGTGGCTGAACAAAATCCTATACAGGGTGGAATTTTGTAATGCCACCTGGAGGGAAAGTACTCTTAATACTGTAGATAGAAAAATTTACTCAAAGAAAACATTCCTTTATTTTTAAAAAGAAATAGAACTGAGCCCCGATTACGGTATTTTTTACCGTCAACAATCCAGACACGCTTCTCGAATCTGCGATACGATTGGTCGTTCAACAGCGTACGTCAGCTGTTTTGACCAATCGTATCGCAGAATCAGAAACGCGTCTGGATTGTAGACGTTATAAAAGTTACCGTAATCGGGGCTCTGGATTACGGTAATTTTTAACGTCTCCAATCCAGACGCGTTTCTGATTCTGCAATACGATTGGTCAAAACAGCTCACGTACGCTGTTTACGCTGTCGTAAAAATAAGTCGACTTTAAAAATTACCGTAATCGGGGCTCTGGAATGGAAAACGGAGCGCAAGACGCAACTGGAGCAGAAGCGCCAATGAATTGGAGACGTTAAAAATTTGCGCAATCGGGGCACAGCATGTGTTCAGCGGAAGGAATGGCAATTTTTTTCGACTTCTATGAGGATTTTGACATAACGAGGTTCGAGCTTGGACGAATGGTTCGAGATATATGTAATATTATAGCCTGACCAGGAACATAAAAACCCTGGCACAGAGGCGCTTCAATTGCATTTGATAGGCTAAATTTATGTATCAGGATTCAGGATTACGGGCTAATTTGATATTTTCATAAGTTAACGAAAAGTATTATTAAAGATAACCTGGTTTAAATAAATTAAATGAAACCATCAATCGAGCTAGTAGGATTTATTTTATTATTCATCAATTATCAAATTCAGAACATGAATATTCAACTGCAATGTCTGCTCATGAACGCTTCAAACTCGGTACTTCTTTCCCAATTCCATAAAATTCAAAACTTAGAAAGTGACCAAAAAACTTTAAAATAGGTAGTTGAAACAGACTACAGCTAATTTTCATAGTGGACTGTACCATACGATAAACATGTCAGTCAATTTGACAACCTTTGTCGGAAACATTATTCAATGAAAATATTGTCCGAACCCTTAGTATTTCTCTTCGACAAATACATTAACACATCGTGAACCACTTTTCTTTCACGACTATAAAAATATTTTAGCAATTTAATACACGAAATCAATTGCACACATTTAAAATAAAGTTTGTTTACACTTTGACAACAATAGACTGACATGCATGGTGACATGTGAATGAAGTTTTCAGTTACTGTTGCCATTAAAAGAAATTAGTATACCATTAGTTTTCCGCAACATGGCGAGGGTTTTTATGTTCCTGTCAGATTCCACACTGTCTTCATGACATATTCATTGACATTACATTATCTTTGCTGTGAACGTCAAGTTGACAGTGTGCTTGCTTGAGAGCTGTCAATTTTTTATCTGTCGCGTCCTTCCTGTGAGACGAAGAGAATTTCGTTTTATTGATTTTGAAGAATTATACGTTTGTGTAAAAACCTTATCTTCAATTAGTTTGATTTTCAACGTATATTCAAGAGGTTTATGTTAATTAATTTGCAAACATCTTTGTTTCCACTGAGCTATGACATTTTGGAGAAATCTGTTTTATCATAGTATCTGACCCCCGCTTAAAAGACTAAAGTAGCCGAATGATTTGCCGAATAACAAGAAATTAAAATCTGTATGGTGAATTGGTAGCTGATTACTACGAGGTAGGTCATGTGAATTTGGCATTTGTTCATTCAACAAGGTTTTCTGTAAGGACAAGGACCTGCCACAGTTCAGGCAACAAGTAACTAAAAAGAAAAAAACCAACACATCATTAAGTTCTCTGATATTGCGCACGTTCAAGAATTGTGGTGATTGCTTACCTTTTGCCCCTTATTTATAAATGAGGCTACTCAAATGCCTGCCAACTGCAGTAATTAATTAAGTATTCTATAGTTATTTATTCGTCAATTTCGATTGCAATTTGCCTATGCGACTTGTATATTATTGGTTGGAACAACTAGCTATTTCTGCACTTAAGCGAATTGTATCCATGTATTCAGCAAGTTAAGCCAGAGACGAATTAAATTTAGCTTGTAACATCCTATAACTTTTATCAGTGCTTGGTAATCAATAATGTAATTTAAAGATAGTTATATCAAATGTTATTGTATTTTAGGAGTGAAATAAAAATCAATGAATCGAGAATTCTATGACAGTTCTGATGACGATGACATGGAAAGTCAGTATCAAGTAGATCCAGAATGTTTAGTGCTCACCAGGCCAGATAAAGACATGCACAACAGGTGCTGTGGTGGTAAAGCATGGTGTATAAAGGTAATACATTAGTTAAAGAAACAATCTTTTGATACTTGGTTGTTAAAGTTAAAATATTTTCATGAAAAAAATATGTAAACAACTTTGATCAAGAATAATTATTTTTTAAGTAAACATTCAAACAAAACAATTATTATTATGATATATTTTTAAATTGCAGGATATCTGTGGTATAATATGTGCTGTGTTAACATGGCTCTTGATCCTGTACGCAGAGTTTGTGGTGATGATGGTCATGTTACTGCCCGGCCTCTCAAGTTATCCCATATATGGATATGTTAATATTTTCATATTCCAATGTTTGGCGTTCTTAGCTTTTGCATCACATCTCAGGACCATGTTCACAGACCCTGTAAGTACCAATTTAATTATGTATTTTTTTGCATTTGCCTCAGTGAGGGTTGGATCCAGACTAGTTTTGTAGGTAATCTTGGCACTGAACACACTTGGAAGGCACAACAGGATGTTCCTAATGTGGGCACCTACACATACAGGAATTGAAGACAATGAGAGAGCTTATATCCAGGAGACATAGAGCTGAATGGGAAAGCTCCAACGGTATGAGCCACTCCGAATTATTCCTGAAACACAAGTTCATGGGGAAAACTCGTACTCAATGGAAATAGAAGGCAAGGTTGTGTTATCACGAATGCGCTAACAGGATACTACACCACGAACCACATGCTCTTCAAGATGGGCCTAACTACGGACAATAGCTATCAAACATGTGGAGAACATGCAAGTCCATAAAACACCTAATGTGTGAATGCGACGCGCTAGCTAAAAGTAGCATGAGTCTCCTGGGGTCGGCTTATCCGGCATCAGAGGATTACAGGTCCCTCTCATTCAAGCACTTGATTCACTATATGGATAGGATTTTTGCAGATGAGGGGGAATAAATAAATTTAAAAATACATTTCATTAGTTGTTACTCACATAAGGGGTCATCCATAAAGTACGTCACACTTAAAGAGGGGGGGAGGGGGTCGACAAAGTGTGACATGGTGTGACAAGGGGTGGGAGGGGTCCTAAGTTTTGTGACATCACATTTCAAAATCTAATATATCTAGAGGTACTAATCGCGTAATTTGAAATATTAATTAAACTAAAAGATATTTCCCACTCTATCTTTAGGACAATATGGTTTAAAATGTTTTGTTGCCGAGTTCATACCCGCTCTAGTGACACGCTCCGATCGCCTACGAGCCCTTTGACTGAAGATGATTGAGTTTCTTTCTTCTTCTTTTTCTTTATATTCAATAGTTTATTGCCATGTTATTGTTTCAAATATTTGATATAATGTTGATTTCATAAAAAAAGTACTTAATTTAAATGTAAATAAAACTAATTTCGGAATTGGGAATGCAAATCTCGCGAGATTAGGGCTCATGCGAGATCCCGTGAGAGATTAACAAGTAGGTATAGTACTGCGAGATCTCGCCAACTTCGAGATCTCGCGAGATTGGCAGTTTCTTTCTTTTCTTGCAAATATTCACAATATTTGAATAAATTAGGACAAAAATAATAAAAATTATGAGTAAAAATTTTTTTTCACGAAAAACACCAAACATTGTTTGACATTATATCTGACATCTGTCTACAATTTTTAATCAACTTCTAAGTAAAGTCCCACGATTCTGAAACTCAAGTGGCAAAAATCAAAAACTAACAACCCAGAGCCCCGATTACGGTAATTTTTAACGTCTCCAATCCAGACACGCTTCTCGATTCTGCGATACGATTGGTCGTTCAACAGCACACGTCAGCTGTTTTGACCAATCGTTTTGGTTGATCGATTGGAAACGTTAAGAGTTACCGTAATCGGGGCTCAGTATTGATAATAGCGCCCTCCTGTAAATGTCATAAATAAGGTTGTCCAATGTGGAAATAATCAGAACTAATAATCCAGGATAGATAGTAGCGCTCTTCTGACAATTTCAGAGCTAGGACGGTTCATTGTTGGATATCTAGAGTAGAAATGATAAGTGATCTCACTCGATTATTTCCAAAGTATACATAATATCGTAAAACTAATTACTGATCCTGAAACTGCTTTACGAGCTCTATCAATCGGTATACTTAGTTAGTTTTTAATATGATGGGGCTTTACTGAATGTATGGAAGCTGGAAACATTTAATTTTTGGATAGATTCAGTTTATTTTGTAACCTTATGTCAATACCGTTTGATAGAGCTCATAAAGCACTTTCAGTATCAGTAACCAGTTTTTAGATATCTTGTATCGTTTAGAAATAATCAAGTGAGATCACTTATTTATGGAATAAATGACTATGACTATGACTATGACTATCGTTTCCATCCTGTATAGTAAACTTTGACTTACGATCTATCAAATAACAAATGAAAGAAACAGCCAGTCTTCTCTTCTAATATCAATCGAAAATCTTTTAGTGATAAAACAGTTATTTATAGACATTTTTATGCTCAAGTGCAATCTCGTTAAACTCGCGAGATCTCGCCCTTTTTACGTCCGAGATCAATCTCGCTAAAAAGGACGAGATCTCGCGAGATCGAGATTGCATTCCCTAATTCGGAACTGCTGTTTTAATTTAATAGTTTTTCGATGTGAAATTGCAAAACATGTGACGTCACACTAGGGAGGGGGGGGGTCTCAGAAATGTGACCACCTGTGACAAGGACGGGGGGGGGGGGGCCCAAAAAATCATGAAATTCGTGTGACGTACTTTATGGATGGCCCCTAATAAAAAACAGATAGATATTTTTAAGGTTTCAGATTTGGTTTCCTTATATTGTAATTTAATACACAGGGTGCAGTTCCAAAAGGCAATGCAACGAAAGAAATGATCAAGCAAATGAGTTTCCGTGAAGGTCAAGTTATATTCAAATGCACAAAATGCTGTAGCATCAAGCCAGAGCGTGCACATCACTGTTCGGTATGTCAGCGATGCATCAGGAAGATGGACCACCACTGTCCGTGGGTCAACAACTGTGTTGGAGAGAACAATCAAAAATATTTTGTTCTGTTTACAGTAAGTTCTCTATAAAAAACCTTGTGATGAAATTAGCTTCCGCTTTAATCAAGTTCTTTGTTAACACAACATAATTTACACGGTTTCAGATATGACGTAATGCATCTTTTTTATATCAGTGACAATATTTTCATGTCATTAGCATTAACAGCAGTAAAGGCACAATTGTAGAAACGTTACATTAATAAGATTGTGTGTTGTTTCAGTTTTATATTGCGGCAATTTCGGTACATTCCTTGACGCTGTCAGTATACCAATTCGTGACGTGCATCCGACATGAGTGGCGAGACTGTAGCACATACTCCCCGCCTGCCACCGTTGTGTTACTTCTGTTCCTCATTGCGGAAGCCCTGTTATTCGCGATCTTCACAGCGGTCATGCTTGGGACGCAGTTGCATGCTATATGGAATGATGAAACTGTAAGTGCTAATTTTACACATAAGCAACATGAGGCTATTCTAATACAGTGTTCCGAAAATTTTTTGTGTTCAAGGTACTATCGGGGACTCTTCCGCCTGACCACTTTGTAGAAATTTTAGCGTAAGCGCATCGCTCCGGTCACGTGCTCACCCCGTCTCTAATTGGTTACGCATTTTACTATATTTTTACTACGACCAATAAGAGACAATCAGGGCTTAGGTTGCAATACGAAATACCATTGTGCACTTTATTGTCATACGGTTAATGTTTAAAACGAAATGTTTNACTTTTTTCTCAGGAAATTGCACAGTTACCTGGGAATGTGCGATAGCAATTTTGTGACCCGAGCGGGCAATCGCTAGTTCAATTTTTACACGAAGCCCCATATAATATTTTGTAGCGATTCTTTATTGGGTTTCAAATTTACTAAAATGCGACGTTGCCAAACGAGCGCTACGGATGCGGGTAAGCTAAGCAATACTCAATCCTAAACGCTTTACATAGAGCTTGGGTTGCTAGGGCAAACATCTACAGTGGTGCGCCGACGCTGCTTAGACCCGAAATATGAATGAATGGGGGCGTAGCTTAATCGAGCGTGTGTGTGCAAACAATTTAGGCCCTTAAGGTGTCAAGGCGTCCGAGTCCCCGATAGTACAGCTAGGTAAATGACATTTTTTGGACGCACATCACACATGAAAAATAAATTTTTAAGTAATTACCTACCTTACTTACTAAAAATAAGTTTATAAGATAATCTTATTTTTCCGAGGCACACCATCTAATGACCACGGTACACTGTTTGCGGAACACTGTTTTAATATGTTGTCAGTCTGATGGTTAGTGTTAAGCGGCCCCGAGACGATCAATCGCGATTGTCAATGTATTTACGTTCCAATTGACGGAAACGATTGTCAATTGCTCAGCGAAACGATCAATATTAGCTTCAATGGCACCTGTCAAATTGGGCTTCAATTAAAGTCAATTTGCTTCAATCACGTAAATTCAATTGATAATCGCTTCAATGCCTTTTGTAAACGATCAATGTCAATTTACAATCACGTAGAATTGACAATCGCGATTGATCGTCTCGGGGCCACTTTAGAGATTTTTTGGTTGTTTTTACATTGCCTTCTCCAGATTGGGCATTAAAAATAAATAATCTGTAAGATATTCCTATTGGAATAATTGATAAGAATTGCACACACATTTTTGCAGTTGGTTTTGACTATTAATTCATTCCTTTACAGGGAATTGAACAACTAAAAAAGGAACAAGCGCGATGGGTCCGCAAGTCAAGATGGAAGAGTATACAATCAGTTTTCGGACGCTTCTCAATCCTCTGGTTTTCACCCTTCACCCAGCCTTCGCCCAAAACTAAGCTGGAGAGCTACTTATACAGTGTATAATTTGTGTAAGTAAACGTGTCACTCTGTGTACTTGTTGCACATGCACACAATTATTGGAGCGTTCTCATTCGCTGCGTGTACAGGCTTCATTTGGCCTTCATTTTTATGCATTATAATGTATTTTTCATATCAAAAAATTGGCTAAAACTACGCCAATGTAAGCAATACAATTTATTTAACTTTTAATGTACTATTGTATCATCATTTTGCTATGTGATTTTTAATATAAATATTGGCATAAGATTTAATTTTATATTATTACAAAATGTTTTCTAATATACACAAATGACTGATATCGAAATTAATGTGAGAACAATCTAATAATAGGGAACCAAACAACTGCATTTACTTTATTTGTTACAAATATCAATCACAAATTGGTTATATGAAAAGTGTAATTTTATTTATTAATAATTTGGGTAGGGCGACATCGTAAAGATAATTAAGTAAGGTCGTATATTGTGCCTCGAGACACTGCCGTCTGTGAGTTTTAGGAGGTGTAATCACCGAATTCATAAATACCTGATTTTAGAGTATATAAGACAGAATTGATACAAATAGTATGTTGAGATATCTAAAACCATCCTTATTTCCTTAAAGTCTTACACCTACTAAACTAACAGATTCATTGTTAAGAAATAAGCAACATCACACTACCATAAAGTATTAAAATGATCTATAGCTGCTGTTTCGTTTGGACATATAGAAACTCCATTGGTTTATTTGTTGCGATTTCAATATTGAGCCCTAAAGTCCGTGTATATCTGCTGATTTTGATACTCCTAAACAGGATCTTGTAGATTTGGCTTACAAGGCCTGTTTGCTAATAAGTCCTATCAAGTTCTTTGACGAATGACCATGTGTAAAATTATTACCTTACTATCCTGAACTTAAGATCTGATAGTTACATGCCCTAATGGGGCCTAATGAAATAATTAATTATGCAATGTGTAATCTTGTTTTAATAATGAGTACGATTATAACGAGTGACACAGGTATTTCGCTTCGTTAGAAACCAGTCAGTACTCTGGCTACTTTTATGAATGCATGTTATTTTATATTCTAAATAAAATTAAAATGTATTTTCAACTTAACGATTACTCCGCACGCAAGTTAGAATAGAACTATGTACTTTCTTTGTGTCCACACGAGCGTTGTATAGTTTCTGTATACAGGGTGTTTCTTGTAAGGTGTCAAGCCGAAGGCAGGTGATAGGTGAGGACTAGACCTATCGATTTCATCCCCATGTATGTTCTACGATTTTTCATAGTTTAGAAGTTATCGTTAANTCCTCACCTATCACCTGCCTTCGGCTTGACACCTTACAAGAAACACCCTGTATATTTGTTTCAGTGGCACCTGTAGCCTAAAGCATTAGTATATGGGAAGTGTCATTAGATCCATCGTCATCTTCTGAGTAGTCGTAGGCTGTATTAAAATAACAAAAATGTCCACAATGGGGTTTAATTGTTTAGCATATTCGTATTGTTATACACATTTAACCAATGTTAATAAAGTAGGTAATACCGAGAGAGATCAACATTTTGTTAACGGTATTGTGCTAATAAAAGTTCAAATTACAGTATAGTAATTATTTAATGTTTACGAAAAATATATTGCTTAATAGGGATGATGTAGCAATTTTATTTTGAAGTTAAAGGGTAATGCCGTTTTTAATTATACAATGCAATATAGCAAATACGAGATAGTAAGTAAAATTTGGTAATAAACGAAGCACACGCGACTGTTCTAATGCTGAGTTTTCACTAATGCTGTGCGAAGAAGTACAGCGCATCTGCTAATTAAGTTAAAAAGCCATAATTCTTCTTACCAAAGCTGCGCAATAACTGATGGTTCAATACTATAAAAAAATATTTGCCTCGCAATCCACACAAAAATATCTTGCATATTTTACGAGTAATACCTATAAACGTTTAGGCAAAATGACAATGTCCAATGTGTATCAATCGTATCATATTACTAGTTTGCAATGTATTTGACTGTAATAACAAATATTTTCTCCGCATAAAATGTTTTATATGATTAAAAATGGCTTACCCAAGAGCTGATCAAACGAGGAACTTCATACTGGCAAATATTGTATAGAGTAAGTAATAATAATAACCCCTTACGATAGTTATAGCCTTAATAAATCATACTTCTTGAGATATGATCAACTTATTATCGAGTTTCCAAGCAATAGTAATATAAATATGTCGTCATAACATAAGTAATAGTCATAGATACCTAATTATTGATTTTGGTCAGCTCTTCGAATACAAACGTCACACGTTATTTAGGTATTACGCGATTAGGTCTAAAATAGGACCAATTTTATGCTTTGGTATAATAATCATAATTTTCTGATTCCGTTATCAACTTTCCCCTTAAGTGTTGTTTTTATTTTACATACCGGTCGATTCGAAACTACATTAATCTTCCATTTACGTTCATAGTAAAATATTCAAAATAGTTGCCTTGACAATTCCATTATGCATGATATAAGGGAATAATATAGAATGTTAGTATTGTTTAAGTTTCTGTATCGATAATCAAGAGTCCAGTGGGCGATGTTTTACATATTATAAGTAAATTCGATTGATTTTATTGTTTGAATAGAGAACGGTGGTTCCAAAACTGGGAGGCGTGATTTTAAAGAATTAGATTCCAATTTCGTACACAAATGCGTAGATAGTGTACGCGCAATCATGTGCGATTCCGTATACGAATTAGATTCCTAATAAAGCCTGGTCCGTGAGCACGTAGAATTTTGTCCAATGACCCCAAGCTACCCATCCTTATCGCTCGCGCGTAATTATATTGCTGTCGCGACTGTGCGACGGGCGCCCGCAGTGAGTGTGCGAGCGCGACAGAAACATAATTACGCGCGAGCCTATAAGGATGGGTAGCTTGGGGTCATTGGACAAAATTCTACGTGCTTACGGACCTGGCTTTAGTCAAAACATACGTCTCCTAACCTCAGCACCAATAACGTTAACGTAAGCGGCCTTCAATTCGATCATAATATGTAATTCACGTATAGCACCCACGAAAAAAAGTAGTAAGTAGACGCTTAGAATTAATAAATATACTTTTGTGATTTCTCTTTTTGGTATTATCTCTAGTTATCGATGCTGATGCTATTATTATAGTTATTAGTTACTACGTTATTTATTTTGTTGTCAGTGATTTAGTTTTGTTTATTGAGTTATTTATTAAGAATCATTAGTTGACTGTCATACAAATATTGATCATGATTAATATAACTATTGTATGTATTGCGATTTGCGAGTCATTCCTCGTATCAAAAGTCAGACTAAAGTAAGTTAGATTCATCTAGATAACTGTAAGCTATTAATTATTAAATTTATAAAGGAGACATCGCGTGTAGCAACAATTATTGCATGCAACTATAATATAACACTTATTAGAACGATTATAATATGACTGTCACTTGTGGAATTGTGATGTTTTGTCTGCATTTACCTAAATTCGTCACTTTTTTGGATACTCGTACTTTTATTTAGGTTATCAGGTTACAAGTAATAATCGTAATTTTATCGTCTTTGATGTCAGTGCTGCGTAATCTAAATTGGTGTAAACAAACAAAAACATCTATTTTACTAGAGAGGTATAGATATATTTTTTATATCGTTAAAACATTTTATTAAAATTAGTTACTATGATAATATGGAACTTTGCACTTTTTAGTGATTATGTATGCAACGTCATGAAATTTTTTTGGCACCTCGCGTCGACTGACCGTGGACCATATTCGTTACTTGACGGCTGGCTTGCAAAAGGTGCCTAACTAATTTTGACCTGATATTAGCTGTTCTGACTCGGAGATGAGCTTGGGCAGGCGTCTCATCCGGTTGACCGATGACCAGCAGGCAAACATGTGCCGCAATCAAATTTTATCGATTTTAGACAATAACATTAAGCTAGTACATTTATCGTCTAAAATCAATATAATACAACGATAAGATTTGGCTGTGGTGCACATTCTAGCCTGGTTGCGAGATGCTATTGAAATAGCCCAAAGCATTATCTGTTGGGGATAATGTGTATGAAATACTATTGATTTACAACTAGTGATGATAAAGATGATGTTGATTAGTAAATTGGTAGCAGTCGATCACGGTAGTCAGATTCTTGTCCTCGCACCGGGATGATGTACAGAAGAAACCTTAGGGTAGACTATAAAATATTTTCATTGTAGAAATTAGGTTAATACGTCATAATCGGCTTATAAATTATTAAAATAGTAAAGTCGGTTCTTCAGTCGGGGATATTACAACACGTGCTTGCTCGCCTATGCTATGGTAATTTCTTGATATTTAACAGATGTGTGTTTACACTGTTCAAAACATTTAAGTGTTTCAATCTAGTGTTTTTATAATATGTGGCAAAGATTTCCATATTTCAAATATTGTATAATGTTACAGCTTCTTTGACGGCACCAATATAATTTAGCATAGCGCCACAAAAATATACAATAGTTCTATACAAATTAAATAAATATAAACAGCAATAATTTGTAACGGACAGAAGATTTATATCAACTAAAGTGTTAGATTAGTCGTTGTTAATGCTTGACCATAACGTCGTGATAGCCTAAATTAAAAAATGTGATATAATTATGTGTTTTAATACTATTTCTGATATATTAAAATCGTGCTAATAATACACGGTGAATTTGTGGTCGAGACTTAACAAACTGTATTGCCACAATTGTTATTGTTAGATTTCGGTTTATTTCAAACCAGATGGGACGAATAGATGAGACAATTTAATCTGAATGTGTATGTAATTTTGACTATTGAGTATGACAATTCGTTTGTTCCATTTGTGTTTGAAGGGGCTGACTTGAAGAAAACCTGTTGAAAATGTCATTTTGTCACCTTTTATACAAATCAGCTTAGTTTGTGTGATATGGACATTGTAGTAACAAATTGCAAACCTCACGTATGGTGTGCCTATCATTCTGATATTCTGTCTGACCGGCTCTCTGTAACTGTATAAAAACTGTAATATTATAATATGTTCCATCTCCCTAAAGCACTTATGTGTGACCAGGGACCTTAGACAAGTGGCACTCTTTGATCGCTCCGAAAATGGAGTTGATTTGCAGAGCGAAGTAACTCTACATAAAACGCTGGAGCAAAGGGTTTTCGAAATTACAAATGTCACGTTTTGCCACTTGTCTAGGGGCCTGCTGAGCAACAGTCAAAACGGTCGGTTTTAACGCCTATAGCATTTTAAACATGTGCCTAGTAAAGTAAGAGGACGTTGTTAAGTCAGGTACTTACAACTTGTAAGCAAGGGGAACACAGGATACTCATTAAACAATACGTGCCTACTGGTTTACGACTAAAGTTGGATTTTACTTGAGATCAAAATATAAACATATTTATACATATTAATATACATTATGTTTTTGTTTCTAGGACACAATCACGCTCGCAACTATATCTATCTATCTTCGTCTTGCGTGTGATTTACAATAGATAGCTCTTTTTTATAATCATTTTGTAATGCCTCCTTGCAATGGTATAAGTTTTAGCTGCTATTTCTGCCCTGCTTTGAAAATATTTTCATTAGTCAATGCTGCAATACGTTTACTTTGCTATTATTATTAATAGCAATCGTGTAATACTAATATATTTTTCCGTCATCGCGGCGCAGCAACATAAAGGACAGTTTTACATATTTATATTGTACAAATACATAATTAGGTATTCTTGCACTGATCTCAGTAATCCGATTCTAGTAAGAGTACTCTCTTCTCTTCGCACTAACTGCTACGTTTATCGAGATAATAACAAATGCTTGTATCACGTGTTTCCATACCTTTATGATAAATAAGACGAAAGTAGGTATTGTATTTGCGCGTTCTATGTTATTTCATACAAACATTGTGATAGTTGATACCGACAAGAACTGCCTTCGTTATTGATATATTGGTCGTACGCTGCCTCATAATTTTAATTCAGCAATAATAAGTACATATTTTTCATGCACGTGTACCTGCTTTTAATATCAAATACTAATAATATTGTATATTTAATGGCGACTTTCATCGCTAGAGTAGTTAATATAATGTTTATATTATAATAATCGATTGATGTGTATATAGAATGGAATGACGTTTAATTTTGTATCATCTTATATAATTAAGAAGGGTTGATTATGTGGCTACCACTAGCAGCATTATACTCTGATGCATGGAAGCGGCGCAAGGGTTGATGCTTTTACCTGCGCGGGTCGACTTCGTAAAATTCTTGTTGACTTGGCTCTTCTGTCTCTCTTACTCACTTTAGGGTGCTGGCATAAGTGAGGGCAACAGGAGACCCGGTATACCGACAGTTTTGCAAAGTAGACCCCTTTCCTGTGCACCCCAAACTTAGATCTGAAATCCTGGTACATATCCAATTAACAGAAAATTAAAAAATATTTAACTAACTAGGTAACTATTGTTCCAATATCTTGTAAATATGATTTTTAAAGACGCACAGATTAGTATATAGGTATTACGTATATTGTTTATACAAAGGCCTAATAAATAAGGGCGCTAAAAGTAAGAAGCTGACATTCCTACAAGTTTTTGAAAACGTGATAATGTTATTTGATCTATCATAACATATTGATAGTTACTTGCCGCCGGCGAATAGTAACATACATGGAAAAATAAAGCTTTGACATGATGCCATCTGGGTGTCCTTGCCCTTTTCATATTAAATATTTTATAACACGTGCATGTAACCTCAACTCTTGCGCCGCTGTATTTGTCCATTACCATTCGAATGATGTTCGTTTTTCTTAAATGCGACGGCAAAGATAGCGGTTAACATGTAAGAAATTAAGTCATTTTTATGCATTTACGGAAAAATGGCGCTGATAAATAAAAATAAATTATCATTCAATTAACAGTCGTCGTTTTATGGAAAACGCGCATTCAGTTGAATTTTATAATTATGTATCTAATTTCAACACAAAATGCATCTCGTATCTAGTAAAACCACGGTTTATTTAATTTTGATAAGTGTAGGATAGCGAAATTATGTTAAAATAGTTATTATGTAGTAAATTCGTCTCCGTGCAGAATTCTTATATTACCTGTAAGATGGTTTAATTAATATAAATAAACGCTTATAGCTTATCCTTTTAAAATTAAATGTGGTTTTATTTTCGGACAAAAAACATGTAAACTGGCTGGTTTATTCTCGTTGTTGCTATCGAATAAAGCCTTTTATTTAAAGGCATAAATTGTGGTCTTTTAAAAGAAATATTTACAAAACTTTGTGATTTAATTTAATTGAATTTTAAATTAAATAGGGTTCAGTGTCAATTACATTAATAATGTGGTCACGTTTCTAATGTTGATCATTAGTCAATGTAGGCTGTTCTTGAACCATAGTTCGTTGTCGAAAGCGGCAAGTAGCTATTGCATATGTTTAGTTCACTTATTGAGCGTTGCGTATGGTATGAAAAACAAGCCGCCGCGAACCGCACGAGTTCGTATGCAGTCAGCAATAAGGCACAGTGATACCGACACGCGAAGGGAAAGTGTATTGTTGCGGAATCGAGCACCGTGCCGTTAGACTTGTCGGGTTTTAGCATCAACACCCGCCGTCTTCAAGGTGACCCGCGACGCCCGCGCAGAGCCCACCAGTATAGCTAAATACGGTCACCTGGCATATTTCGTAACGCCACCGTCATATTGAAGTATCCCGTACAGCCTCTATAACGCTGAAACCATTACTGTAAGTCTTTGATCTCTTAAAATCTATTTACGCTTTTTAATTTACTGTGGTGTAAAGAAAGTTGTTTTGGTGCTATGCAGATGCGAGCGTGCCAAGCTTTATTAGTACTGGCGATTGTGGTGCCATCTCTCTGCTTGCCGTACGACCCTCAAGACGATGACTTGGAGAGTGTGCTGCCATCTGACGGGAAGTTTGAGGCCTTCTACCAGCGCGAAGCACACGGCATACCGAACGGTTCGTCGCGGCCTGCGCACGGGCACGGTAGTTTCTACAAGCACCGCAACCCGGCTCTAGTGGATGTCAAAAACGCACCAGCTTACGGATTTCGGTTCGATGGCAAGAGGCGATTTAATTTTGACGATGATGAATAGTAAATATTGTTAACAATTTGAAATAAATTCATTTTTACATTATATTTTTTTCTTTATACCAAAAATGGTTATAATTGAGGCATAACCACCTATCCACACGCGTATTGCTACGGTTCGTAAACCTCACAACGTTACATTTACATTTGCTTGCTGAAAAGCTTGGATGTGTTCATTTCAGCATCATTCAACTAAAACAATAATAGTGAAGATGATTCAGGCCTTTGGTAAATAATCTTACCTAGGTAGATAAAATCCTTTTGTTTGCAATAAAAATAATAAATGGAGTAACTTAAAATTATCCTGTTGCAGTGGGGTCAGTCGACGGAAGACTCGGGCATTGCCTTCAGCCCAGAAAATGAGGAACCTTTAATTTATTCTAAACTAATAAACTTCGAAGTGGGACAGAGATATCATATCACAGCCCTGACATGTGAGACTAATAATCATGGTAGAACTAACGGTGCCCGTCACAGGCTCCGCATCTCGTTATATGGAGCGAGCGCCCCCATCCATTACCATCGATACTGTAATGACACGAGGCAGAGCGCTCGTAAATATGTCCTGGGTGATTGATACAAGCGTCAACGGTAAATTTTTATCCATGGTAAACATACGTTCTCAATCTCATGTAAGTTTTCTGAGAGCACAAGTTCGTTATTGTTAATGTAGGATATTTGGATACCTGAAGAGTGTTTAGTTTACTTACCTCATTAATTACTCGAAATACCTATAACCCGGCTATAACAACTAGGTAGGCATCTATTAGTTGTGATTTTAGTAGATATATTAAAGTACTAGCTTTTGCCCGCGGCTTCACCCGCGTGAAATTTAGTTTGTCACAGATCGTCATAAATTATAGCCTTTTATATTTTATATATTATATAAACAATAATACCTACTGTAAAGTTTCCTAAAAACCCGTTCAGTAGTTTTTGCGTGAAAGAGTAACAAACATCTAGACATCCAAACTTTCGCATTTATAATATTAGTAGGATATGTGGTTAGGTTAGATAAGTCTGTATAGGTAGAGAGACATGATTGTTTCAAATTAAGGTAGAATAAAACTTTCAGGACAAATCAATAGACCGGTCACCTACTTACCTACTGTCACTGCTGTTTAACGGGATATTTTTAATGCAATTCGAGTATCATCGCTTTTAATTATCGAGATCGTACAAATCCGTTATCTGTTGATCGAAAACAAAAATTGTGTATGTTTTGCGTTAGGTATCATTGGGTATACTGAAATAATGATACTGTACACTGAAATTATGATATGACCATAATTATATTATAATTGAGATATCTTTGAAGTTTTTACTAATATTACCTACGAGTACATACCAAAAAAAATTATATTAAAATTAACTTATTCTCTCAGAACTGTACATTTTCCTAAGAACAACCTTTTAAGGTGCTGAACCCTAAAATCTGGTGAACCGTTGAGACATCGATATTGATTTTGTTGATTGGCTAGATAGATTATCGGTTAGGTCATTTGTTAGCCGCAGACAGATCAATTGACAGCTATATTTACTTTGTTAGGTAATGAAATTGGAAAAAAAGATAAAACTAATTTCAGAGCTGGCGTTTGAAAATTTATATTTAGAGCAGTTTTACTAACTAACCTGACCTAAAGTATACTCGTATAAGTAGGTAAATCTTGTAAGTATCCGTATATTACTTGTTAAAATATATTTAACTAGCTTTTGCCCGCGGCTTCACCCGCGTGAAATTTAGTTTGCCACATATCGTCTTAAATTATAGCCTATATGTTATTCTGGGCTATAAACAATAATACTGTAAAGTTTCATCAAAATCCGTTTAGTAGTTTTTGCGAGTAAGAGTAAAAAACATGTTGACATCCATACAAACATTTATAATATTAGTTTAATTATATTTCTTTGTGAGGCCTTTTGATTAAATGCTCTATCAATTACCTACCTATGTTTAATCACCATTATCACTTATTACCGACTAGAAATGTCTCATCATGTGCACTTTCTGTAATGATGCAAAAGAGTTACGACAACTTTTATGTAAGTTCTTTATTAATTTAGACCAGTAGTCGCGTTCCAAACGTCAAACATAATGTTTATGTTTACGGAAATTAAGTGAATTTATTGTCGTGTAACAGTTACTTTGTTTCCGACAGTAAACCTGTATAAGTCCACCTGTTATTGATTCACGGTTGGAGGAGCACGGCCGGCTGCGAGGAAAGCCCGAGCTGGCAATGGACTCGTCGCCACAATTCGACACGAGTGTCAGCCACATCCTCCCCTGCATTACCAGCCACCAGACCGTGAGCGCTGTCCACTCGATCGAACCGATACACCTTCCACCAAAAAACCCATGTCAAAACACTTAAGCCGACACGAGAAAAAAGTGTGAAATTATCTTAAGTGGTCTGTGTCTACGAAACTCCCTTTTAAAATCGGGCTAATATAACGGTACGTTCTAAGTAAAGATAGAAGTGTAGATAAGTTAATAAGATTATTATTATACATCATGTTGGGGTCGGAGACCGGATTTTAGGGACGGAATGTTTCGGAAACCGTGTATAAAAAACGACTGGACTCCCGGGATCGGTCATTCCGCGGCCGGCCTGGGTGCACGTATCTTCGTTCCCAACGACGAGCCCTTTTTGTGTAGCTCCCCTGAACCCTTTGATTCCTAAGGCTGCAGTTCTGGGCCACGAGTCAGCAAGGGTGTACGTTGTACCGGTTGTTCAAAGTTCAGTTCCTGATAACTAGTGCGATGTATCCGGATTCAAATGGAGTGGTAAGTCTATCTAATTATTTCATTTAATTATTTCATTTAATACTTTAATTAATGTATTATTCATAATATTAAACAGTAACAATATATTAATTCTACCTAATACTGTACATAATTAATTTTAGTGATTACTTTTGAACTTTTCCGTTGCATTATTATTTTAATTTGATACATGATGAATTAATTCTACCTGAAAATTTAATAATTTTAGTAATTAAGTACTTCGTAACTTGAAAGGAACTTTTATGCTGAATTATAGCGGTTTTTTAATTTTCTTTGAGACCTTGTAACATTGAAGACCTAAGCTTTGGAAAAATGGTAAAAAATATCCGATACGACTATGTTTTTAAAAGTATTGTATTGATTTTAGGTTCGCTTCGTTTAGTGCATACCTTGAAAACCGTATTCAGACGAAGTTGATAATTTAGTGTTATTCAAAATTGCATATCTCACAAAATCTAAATCAACTCAAAACGCTTCCAATAGTACCTATTTATAAACATTTTGATAAAACCATTAGACCCTGGGAGCCCAAATAGTTTTGAAGGAATAGTACAAACAAAAAAACAATTTTATATAGAACCTTCGAGCCTTAATGGTTGTGTATTGTCAGATAAAATTAAATGGGAACGCATGGATCTTTGAAGTGAATGGGTGACAAGGAACTGGGACCCATCGTGGTCGTTTTAGTCACCACCTCACCGCCCCATTTGTGCGCCTTTGTTGTGTTGGCTGCCGATATTGAAATTAATTGAGACACAATACAAACCTTTCACTTATCGGACGCTTTATTGGTTCTTTATTATTGTAGTTTGTTTGTTTGGGTAACTTATGTTGTCAATACGAGTTTATTAATGTGTCGAGTTTAATACAGTTATGTTAGTAACTATCTACTGACATTCTTTTGGATCATTAAAAATATTTTTAAATGAAAATCAAGTAAATTAAACATGCAATAAAATTACTTTGAATTAAAAAAAGGAAATCAGATGCTTCCTTGCGGAACCAAGTTCCAAATTGATCATACATATTATTAGTTATTAAGTGCTCGTTAGACAATTTTTTTTCTTTCTTGATGCCAATATTAATTTCGTCGAAGTAAAACTTGCATACCTACCTATTTTAATATGAAATAAATTAAAATTATCACAATTATTTTTATTCTTCTTCGTCCCTATTCTATTTTATCGTAATTTGGCTAGTCCAGGCATCCAAATCTATGTTTTATTAATACTCCACAGGTGTTAATTATAATGTTGTAACGAACGTCTTGATTGGAGCCTACCTAAACGCGTCTTTTTTCTAAATTCGGAGTTCGAGTCGTTGACCTACCTGGCATAGTCGTGCGGTGATAATAAATGAAGTATTTATGAGTTTGGACCCGCATGGTCTATTAACGATTGGGCACGGACCAGCACAAATCACTTTATAATGTTCCCCAGGCAAATCGCTCGGAGATTTCTTGATGGAGTATTGTTTGTCGAAAGAATTGTAACTTTGAATGGTACAATTACGGCAGCGTATTAGTCTAGATATCTTTCCACGTAATTTAATTGTATCAAGTCAAGAAACAATCAAGTAAAAAGATAGAAAATCTGACGATGCACTGAGTTTGAAATGCTACAGATGCATTGCAAGTGATCGCCTTCCTCTGTGACAATGATTGCTTTAGTGGAAGTGTTATAGTGACTTTTTAATAAAAAAACAAAAGCTAAGTAGTCTAATTTTATAATGTAAGGTAACGTATAAGACTTACGTAACCAAGTTATCTAATATTTATATAATACCTATTGCAATATAGTTTCATGTGTTGTCATTAGTGACTTTTGTCTCATATTTTATTGTTATGCTTGTAAGCAAACACAATTGAAAATTAAATACTTCAGCCTTTAGGCTATTTGCGTGTCCTTAATTGAACTGCGATTTAATTTAACAGATCTTAAAAATGGAATACCTAATACGTAGGTAAGCTTAAATAATATAAAAGCTCGCGTTGTTTACTTTTAACGGATGGATTCATTTGAATAATTTGACTGTTGATTAATTATTTTAACCACAGCCCAGCATATTTGACTGACAATTGGTGTTTACGTAGAGGGTTTCTAATTATAAAAATCATCATGTTGTTATAATTTGTGTTAATAACAAGTGGAGTCATTAATCATTATGTTACAGTCGGTTTAATTGGAGTAGGCTCAAGCCCTCGGGTTAACTAGAAAAAACAAAAACTCAAGGTTAGAGTCTGATCAAATTATAAACATATTTATTTAACAAACTTTTGTTAAAACTTAATAAAGGTTATTTTAATTTGGATTAGGACTTTATACTTAGGTTACCAATTTCTAATATAGACTAACATTAGGTATTGTATCACAGGTTGTAGATACAATTTTAAAGCCATATAACTGTTGAAATAAGATAATATGATGATACCACACTAACAACAGTTTAGTTCAACGTGCTATTTAAATTAAGTGAACATTGTTAAAATTTACGTAATTACGCACATTTTATTTAAAATCAAAATGAAATTAATTGTAACAAGTTGTTACTAAGGAATGTATAAATCATTATATTATTTTCAAATTACTGTAGGTATTTCATCTATATTACACCGTTAATTATTTATGCGAATGCTATAACCGTTTCCTTCCTTCCACTTGTGAAATAATTGCTTTGCGAATTGTATGAAATTGCTTGCGCCTATTTGCATGCTTATATAAAAATGTAATGGTAAATTGATTATCGAAATTATTCCAGTACTTTCCGACTAAATGTAACAATATTCGTTACAACACGGCGAGCCTATTGAATAATTAGCTGTTTAAAAATTATAATTGGAATAATCGATAATCAGCATTTTGTTCATGTTGGATCGGAACAGTTGCGATGAACGAAATCAATCAAGTATCTCATCTATGCCGAATTTGTTTACTCAGATCTTATATCCCGAGTAATTGAAAATAAATGAGTAATCACTTAATCATTAGAATAGTAAGAGTAGTTATTAAGCTTAAGTTTTTTCGTCACACTATATAATCTAGCGCACATTACGCCACTTACTTCCTCTAATATATTTTTATTTTGTTTTACCTCTCTACCATCGCAGTACTCGGAGAATTTGTTTATTTTCACTGCGGCCTGTTACGTGCTGTTAGCGTAACGTATTTTAACTTAAATCAAATATAGTAGCTATGTGATTGGACTTTCACAATCGGGTTTGTTTAAGATAACAAAAATTAATCAAACTGAATCTGACTATGATATCATCGTTCTGATTGACTTCTGATTTGTAGGCATAACCTTAATAACAGTTAATTAAAAAACAAGGTACTATAATAATATATATTCGAATAAAGACGAATTTAGAACATCCCGCATCTCTAACACGACAAACCACTAATTCTTTGCCGAACATCCTCTCAGGCAATTAATCAGATATTATTTAAACTGAAAATTCCAAATAACTAACCATTTTTATGCAGTAATCAATGCGAAAAATAAGGATATCTATTTAAATTTCAATTAAAAATTCAGAATTACTTAATGTGATAACGGTCAAGGAAATAGTAAATAAAACTTAATGTACACTAAGTCATTGATTACATCTTTATTCATGCTGTAGCATCATTTTACGCTCTACTGTATAAGGTTGAATAACACTTCAGTTACAATTATACATAGATACACCCATTTGGTTACGCAATTATCTTCGATCTAAACACGATTGTAGGATAGAAATACAAAAGCAAATTGGACTAATCCATTTCCAAAAAAAACTAATCGGTGTTACAACACAGTCGTAGAATGATAGAGCCGATAAAAAGTAAAAGGAGGCACGAGAAAACCTGAATGATTGATAAATGCTATGAAAAACATAATTTTGCTCAAAGAAGTCCAGCAAATCAAATCAAAAATATTTATTCAAATTTGTCCAGTATTTTGGCACTTATAAACGTGAAGAATAATAAATAAAAAAGGGTAACCCTTAAAGGACATGACATGTAAATATGTCTTCTTATCTTATCAAGATTTCTTATTTGCCCTCTTATTCGGGCTTTGAGACAAACATACTTATGGCAAGTGCTGAGAATATGCAGCCTGTATGTAGATATGTTTACATGTAAAACTTGTTATACATATACTCGTATGTCATAAATTCATCACTATCAAAAGCAAATTGCATGCCAATTCATCAATTATGGAACATTAACTTAGCCGTAATTATATCGTTTGTTGAGCGTATTGTTTACTTACATATTGCGTGCTTCAAACAACACCGACGACACATTGGGTTTACGCAAATATTATAATTATAACATAAATAATCATTTAGCTAAAATTACTGAAGTGTCTTGCATAAGGTACTAACTGTTATGTACAGCCACTTAATTAAGTACCTACTTCTTTTCAGATGTGTTTGCTCGTGAGCCTCGCGCTCATATCTACGGCAGAAGCCTTCTTCCTGAAATGGGCATCAGATTCAACGTAAGTTAATGCGTGTTCATATTTTATGATATGAACACACAGGTTGGTTTGTTGAATGCGAAGTCACGCTGCTCCTAGCACAGAATATTACTAGAGAGTTAGGAATATGAAAGAGTTTTAAAATTTAGCTGCTCAAGGGCTCTTCGCATTCAATCAGTCAATGACTGTATCATGTATTTTAAGTAATTTTGATATATTATAAAACAAAATAGTAATTAAATCAAATTACCTAATTTCTAAGTAAATAACGCTTTGCGATTAAATCCAATTCAGCTAATGCGACAATTGCGTTAAGCGACATTAATATATTAATATTTTCTTTTTTACTTATTATAATACGACTCCAACAGCTGGTATTATTCTACTCGTAGCGTACCAAGCGAGCCATGTACCTACTGCCGCGTGTTACTGTCGAGTAAATTGGCGGCTAATTAAATTATGTACCACGATCTGATAGAGTTCGTTACACACTTATTTGAACACATAATATTGCGCAAGACTTGCTGTTACTCGTATTGTTCATGTTTATTTAACTATTTAACTAATAACTTTCATTGCTCTAATAATAAGCGATTAGTAGGTGTTCATGTTCTTCAGCAATCAACCTTTCACTCGGTTATTAATGGGTTTTGGATTTCTGTTGAGTGGTGCTAATATATTACCTTTAATGCAATCCGTGCGTTTGCTTCAGCAGGCCCGCTGCGTCGCAGAAGACATGGATGCAGCAGCCGTCGCCGTACCGCTACCAGTACGTGTACTCCCCGTACGAGTCGCGGAAGATCTACCAGCCTCAGCAATTGCAGTACGCGCAACCTGAGGCGCCCATGCCACAAAACATGGCGCCGATTCCAATCAATGTCCCAGCAGGCACCAGCCTGACCCCTGTGTCCCTCCAACGCGTCCAACTCGTCCCCTGCATGTGTCCTATAGCCCCGGAGGACGCAGAGAAAGTTCAAGAAGTGGGCCCCGCCCCATACCTAGCCCAAACCTACACCTATTCCGCGCCCCAAAAAAAACCAGTAGATAATGAAGACCACCCCAACCCTCAGCGTTAACTCGTCAGAACGTCTCCAAGACGTCACCAGTCCCACCAATGATATCCATTTTTTATAATTTAATTTATTTCATTTAATTTATATTTAAGAAGACTGATAGTTTATGGACGATCATGTAAGAATGTCCGATTTAAATAAACCATGTGGATTTTTGTTCAGGTCTTTTATTTCATAGCTTCTTGTAACTATCTATTAATCTTCATATCTACTTGGTCTGTTCTTTACATTAGCTCTCGAATGAGATACAAATTGGTGATTTGTAAACTGGACAAAAGTGGACGGCATAAGTATTTCATTCATCGCAATTAATATAACCCGTCTTAATTTTAAATGGGAAATAGGAATTCAGTGAATAATAGTTTAAGATTTATAAGATAGCATTTTTATAAAACAACTAGCGGCCGCCCGCGACTTCGTACGCGTGGATCCCGTTTTACCCGGTATCCTTCCGTTTGGCCAAATTACTTTTCGCCAAATTTCACTTCGCAAACAACTTATCGCCAAAGTTTCATTTCCCAAATGAACTTTTAGCAATTGTATTTTTCGCAACTAATTCATTTGGACAAATTATCATTTGGCCAAATTTTACTTGGCAAATGTTTATATAGCAAATGTTTTATTTTGCCAAATATTATATCCCAAATAATTTGTTTGGTCAAATCGACACTTCACATACTTACCCACAAATCAAACCATAAGGCAGAGGCAGATGATCATGGTTTTCACAAGAATGTTATGTAAAACAAAGAGATTGCAGAAAATAGTATGGTTGCAGAAAGTAGGTATTGCAGAAAATAGTAGGTTAGGTTAGGTTAGAACAGTGACCCTTAACGCGCGAAGGCGAGCGAAGCGTGCCGCGGCAGCGGCCGCCGAGCGCTAGAATCACCTCTATTGTTAATGAATCATTTGGAAATTTCGATAAAAAGAATGAAAATTAAATATGAAAAATTAATATAGAACAAATTTAATATTAACTACCCACTAAACAAAATAATAACCACTTGTTAATTTGTACTCCATTATATGCACCAATCAAATTATTTTGTAAATAGTGTATCGTGAAATATTTTTGCCAAATGAAACATTTGCCAAAACATACTTTGCCAAACAATAATTTGCTAAACAATAATATGCCAAAAACGGCATTTGCGAATTAAAAGTTTGAAAGAAAGAAAGAAAGAAAGAAAGAAAAAATTGCTATAAGTTGTTTTGCCAAATGAGAATTTGCCAAATGAAAATTTGCGAAACGTTGTTTGCGATGTGATAATTTGGGAAACGTTTTTTGGCCAAACATTAGTAATCCGTTTTACCCACTTAGGGGTGGAGTTTCGTAAAATCCTCTCTTAGTGGATGCCTACGTCATAACATCTACGTCAGTCAGTCAGTCAGTCACCTTTGAGTTATATTTAGATTACGAACTAAATCGAACCGTAACGTAATAATTATTTGGTATTATTTGCACGTACCGACGTATCAAAACTATTTCCTAATTTCGATAGTGAAAGAGAAATAGCTCATTAAATAGGTTTCGTCATTATACCACAGAATAATAATAAGTACTATTATACTTACCAGCTCGTTAATAAAATGGACGTATAACAGTATGTAACACTTGTGAGCATCAAGATGCGTATTGGTGGCGTAATACTAACTATTACTTAGGTATAATCGGTAAAAAAATAATATTGCAAAATCTAGAACTGTTCATTACGAATTACTTCGAGATTTTACTGAGTAAATATTTTTTTACGATTAAGAAAACACCTGCAACTAATAAAAGAATGTCGACTATTAATTATCTTTGTCTGTTAGAGATTTAAACGTTACTAATTAACTAATTATAATTCAATTAAATTGAAGTATAATTCAACTGCCCGAGACAAGGAGGCGTAAAGGCAAATTGCATTGCAGTTCTAAAAACTTCTGTACATCCCGAATTGGTAATTCCTTTTTATAAAAGTTAGGAAATACAGGGTGTTTGGCGGAAGGTTATACAAACTTCGTGGGTGTATAGGTAAGGTCATCATTTTAGGAATACGAGTTCGTCCATTTGATCCTAAGTGACCTATTCTTTTTTAATTGATAATTTTGTTTTTATTTAAAATTTTCAGCTTCACCCGCGTGAAATTTCGTTTGTCACAGATCGTCATAAATTATAAGCCTATTATGTTATTCTGGGTTATAAACGATAATACTGTAAAGTTTCATCAAAATCTATAAAGTTTCCAAATATGAATATAATACAAATATTTTTATATTTTGAATGAACGAATATTATTTTCTCTGACTAATTAAACACTGTTATTTAGAAGCTACACATGCCTTGATTACATTAAAATGTGTTATTAGTATACTCATATGAAAGAATAAAGGGTTGCGGGAAGTACCTTAATGCGGGCAGCGCAGGACCGGTCATGGAAACTCTTGCGGGAGGCCATTATCCAGCAGTGGACAGCACTAGGTTGAAATGAAGTGTATTTGTAACTCAAAACGACTGTCCACTGCCCAATTGAACGATCTGCTCCAAGCTCTACTTAATCATAAAGCATGCATGAACTTAGCCTTAGTCTATGGTCCTAGTTTGCTATAACTCTTACAATAAAGAGCAACAAAGACTATGCAGTAACATCTACCTAGATCTCTACCAGCATTTATGGTGTAAAACCATGTAGAACTATTTGAAGTTGTAGTGCACAGTGCGTCGCTTCCATCCGCGCCTCTGAAGTAGCGGGAATCGTTACGCAAACACTTTCATTGTGTTTTCGATATCATTTGAGTACAAGAACCGCTTGTTCACGCTCTAATAAGATGTAGCGCCTATTTTTGAAGAAAAGCATTACGGATATGTCATTACGACTTGTTGCATCATGTTTTCGAGCTCATTTGTAGCAGATTGACATGTTGTTTGTATGCTTATTAGAACAGTAAGTTATGACCTACCCCCTTAGACAAAACGCACTTTTTGATCGAATCGAAAATCGAATCCGTCAAATCTCCATACAAAAAAGAGGCTTTTCGACCACTTTTCGACTGGTTTGCGATTATAATTTGCACTTTGTCTAGACCCACTAGTCCGAAAGTATCTTGCTTGGATGGAAGCCGAAAATTACGCATACTTAAACTTAAACTCATAAGCATTAAGTTCTTTAAATGAACAACATAAGGCCAAGTTTCCAAAAAGGCGGAGCGAAGAAATGTTTTGAATAACCAATCAGATTTAATTCTCTAATATTGAATGAAATCTTATTGGTTATTCAAAATATTTCTCCACTCCTCTACACCTTCCTTGGTGGAAATCGGACCTAATGATTTTGTAAAAGGTAGCTTGTGCTTGCCTCCTTGCATGTATCTAACATGATTATGTATTATGATGCCTTGACCAAGGTTGCATTTTGAAAAAATTGTATGAAAAACATTACTTTCAATGTCAAATAGTTGTCAAGACAGGCAATGAGTTCAAGTGGGTTGTATTGATTTATGAAGTTATTGATTTGTTGTTAGCTGTTTAAATGAAATATATTAGGCTATAGCCGCAATTCAGGAATAAGCTATCATGTTTACCAGCAGAAAAAGTCGCTCGCTGCACGGCACTATATTGCAGGAAAAAATTAATGAACTTCATCATTATTTTATGCCCATGGATTTAAATACAGCGTTCCATCAAAGCAAAGTTAATGCTATTAAGAAAATAAAGTTTGTCCTAAACCACGCGAGTCGCCGTAGTCTGCAGGAATCTGACTTTGAAGAATTGTTGTTATGTTCCTTGACCCTGGTGTATTACTTCGGTATGCGACTCAAGCTGAGTAGACTTACTTCAAGATATTGGTTTTGGTGTGGTAAAAGACTATTTCACAGAGCTGAATCTGTATTCCAAAAGACCATGGACCATCTTCAGCCAGAACGCAGCGAGGCAACCATTAAGATCACTCTCAATTTCTTTTCCGAAGTTTCGTTGTGGCCCTTCGAAAGTTTCGTTGGTCAAATATTGGAGGTAGTACTCTACTTCAACAGGGGTAAGACCAAGCTCTTCAACATGATGCTAACAGATATCCACTGCGTACTATTCAAAGACGTCAAGTCTGCCAGGCATCGAATGAGAGTTTTGTACGAACTTCTAAAAAGCGATAATTGGGTCATTGATAAGCAAAAGCTTTTGCCGTTCATAACGAGGTTATTGGACTTCTTTGCTTACAGCATCAGTAGAGATAGTAAAACGACTGCGTATGGATATCTTCGAAAAGGCTTCGAAGTGTGTCTCCGGCGTATTTTCGAAAGAGTTGATAATCAGCATCGCGTGGTCATAATAACGACTATGCTCAATTGGTTCTCGTTGGTCAGCATGAATGATGACGATGTCCTCGAGTTCTCTTTGCTGCTCGACCACGCGGCGGAGCTTTATCATGTCGACTCTTACAGCGACAGTTTCAAAGAAGGGTTGATTGAACATGTCCTAACTAATCTAGTCGGCTCCTCTTACGCATTGTACAGTTTAGTAGGTTGTCGACTTTTACAGCGATTTTTGGATCGGCAGCACAATGATGCTTATTTATCAGTTCCGACATTGTATTATGAATTTACTCAGGTTAGTGATATTATCCAACTATTTAACTTGTAGTGGTATCTTGATTTAAGTTAAAAACATGAAATTTATTTTAGGTAAAACTGAAAATAGGTAAGTGCGATAATCCGGATAAAATTTTCATCAGACAACATAGGGAGAAGTTACACGAATACATTTTAAAAGCAGTGAAAGAGCACTGCAACAATGCCGTGAACTTGAAGGCTGTATTTTCTGTTATTTGCTGCATTGTGCTGGAGGTTCCATGCGGATTGACGGCTGCAGCTGCTGCGTGCATGGTCATGACTGTGCAGGACTTCGCTATCAACGGAGAGAACTTATTGGCTACATCGCGGTACTGGATGCACGCTATTGTAATATCAGTCATGTCGCTGATATGCTGGGTGCACAAAGCCCCAGTGTTGTACCGCTACGTTGGCCAGATCATAGCAAGGCGGGCCAAAGAGGCGCCCCAACTGAACCCTCCACTATCACAGACCTACAACATTGGTCACCATCATGTTACTTGGAATAAACCCACGCTATTTTTTGAGGACTGGGAATTAAGATATGCTCTGTGGAAACATTTTCAAGAGACACGGGTTAGTTTAAATAGGTACTAAGGATTTGAAAGCATTGATCTATTCCGCAACAGCTTGTATGTATGCTCTTCTTTCAGCCATCTCTTGCAAGTCAAAGCCATATTAAATGGACCAAGAAAGTACCTACGATGGATATAAGAAACTAATAATAATTTTAAGGTATGTTTTTGGACTGTATTTGTCCTGTAAGAGCTAGGTATTTCCAATAGAAGTACTTTAAAATTGAGATAAGTTCAGATGTCTTTTTTAATCAGTGTGCCTACCATGAGTTTACGTTAGGTGTGCTCGCTAGCGACTGCGTAAAAATATGACATTTAAATGTATGACATATTGTGCAGCGCCCCTAGCGGCTACTTTTAAGAAATAAAATCTTCATAGAATTTTTTGACGTATTCGCTAGCGAGCTCACCTAACGTAAACTCATGGTAGGCACACTGTATCTCATTCTGTTAATTTTTATTTTGCGTTCAAGTATAAAATTACTTATTTATTAAATCAAAATGCACAACCACAGATATTACAACATTGATACATAACTGAAGATAGGACTTATTAGCATTAGGGTGTTAATAGGCGAGTGAACGATTATTTCTATTAATTAAATAAATTACGTTGTAAAAAATCTATCATCTATGAAATTAAAATGTAACTACAAAAACACAACGGCGTGTGAATTCCACAAATACAATGGGAACAGATGTTAACTTTCCAGTTTATCGAATCGACTCGAGAACAAATGAGATGGTAATCATAACGAGCAACTTGTTGCAGTTTTTATAGTTACACATACATTTCAATGCATAATTTTGCTAAAAGATGTCCGAACGAACAAGATTATGAGGCTAGGCCATTAGTACCACGTCTTTTTTCATAGGTACATTTACAGCTGTTCAGCTGCCCATTCTACTTCTATTAGAAGTATCAATATATCATCAAAGAAGTCTACTCTTGTTGATTTATTCTTGAAAATTTCTATGCAGCGGCATTCAAAACGGAAGGAATTCTTAGCGGAACCTAAAGAATAGCTTCGCATCTTCTAAGAATCATGTTAATTAATATTAAGATTAATATAATATGCATATTTCATTTATGCTGTTCTATCAGTCAATATCCCAAAACGATTTCCAGCTCTGTTAACGTTGTCGTTAGAATTTCACTTTAAAACTTTGAAATAATATCATCATGACCCAATTGTCTAACCAATTGCGTTATAAGATTACTTATTGCAGAATTTACTATTTGAAACAATTTTATGGATTTCGTTACCATAATCCGATATTGTTTGAAATAGTGAGTTATGAAGCGCGAAATGTAAGGAGGTGACTGGCCAGCGCAGGCGCATGTTGCGGAGCGAATCCGCTGAGTAAATATTTCGAGGCGGCACTAATGAATTTGTATAAACAACCGTAGGGCAAACACCATGAACGATTGGCCAAGCGCTGAGAAAATTGATAAAGAACTAAAAAAAATTAATAAGTTGCGAGAAAATTTTCACTTAGAACAAAATACTACTTTTATTTACTTGTTCAAGTTATTGGTAAGGAAAGAATGAGAAAAATATGGATTTCAGTTTTTATAGGGAACGAATGATTTTTCAAAGGATCTGAAAATTATAAGTTTTTTTTATTTTGATCGCGTAAAGTGCCATCAAAACTTTCTGTGGCAGGTCATAATTTTCGTGGACGAAGCTACGGGAAGCAGCTATTATTGTAATACTAGCGGCCGCCCGCGGTTTAGATTTTTTCATACAAATGTTTTTTCCGCTAACTCCCGTTCCCGTGGGAATTTTGCAATATCCTGTTGTAACTAAGCTTTAAATTTACTAAGATACCTGCATGCCAAATTTCAAGAGTCGTAACTTAAGCGGTTTAGATTTTTGCCCAGGAGTATGAAGAATAATTGTACCAAATTTCGTTAAAATCCGTCTAGTAGTTTTTTTCTATAAGGAACATACAGACGGACAGACGGACAGACAGACAGACAGACAGACAGACAGACAAAAAAATTTCTGATTGCATTTTTGGCATCAGTATTGATCACTAATCACCCCCTGATAGTTATTTTGAAGATATAGGGTAAACCGTATAGCTATTGCCCACTTAAANGTTAGAAATCAAATTTTATCAGTTATTTTCATTGATAATGGAGAAAAGACTTCTAATTTCATCATGACTATACACCATTAGTTGAATATTAAATAACTTGCAAAAAAAATTTTACCTCTAAGCAAGTAATTCCTTAGTAAAATTGTTAAAGTCTTTACCAGTTTGAGTAACATTTGCACCCGTCTTGACAAAATCCGCCATAACTGTTTTTTTTTAGTGTTTCCTATTGTAAATTTTAAATCTACTGTACATTGATCTCGGAGCCATCTACTTAGTAAATTCAAATCTAACTAGAGTGATTCAAAGCCAGCACCTGACAATATTATTCTTAAAGCGGGCAATCACTACCAGTGGGCAATCACTCTCTGGTTTACCCTATTTCATGTACAGAATTGACCTCTCTACAGATTTATTATAAGTATAGATAAGGTCTTTGAACAGAAACTATAGAAATTGCAAGGAATTCAAGCAGTCAACGAAAATACAAGTTTTGAACGAAAGTGATGGTTGTGTTGAATGACATGTGCATTGTTGTGGTTCAAAAATATAGTTGTTAAACAAATATAGGATAAACGTGGATATAAGCGACATTTCATGTTCCATACCTTTTTTTCTAAGTAGGTACGTTTTACTTAAGGTTTTATACTATACGTAAATTATCGGATAGAAAAGTAAAATAAAGTTTTATGTGTTGGATTTATTTTTTGATGAATGATTCTAACTCGTTGATGTCTTTTGTACGTGCACTGAAAATCGTTTGCGCCAATCTTAATTTGTGATAAATGTTTGGCTATCTGTTTGATAAAAACATGCATTACATCCAGAGGGCTCTAATCTATCAACATCTAGAAAAATCCTGCCGCCCTAATCATACATCAAAAAGAGATGGATGCATTTCATCGCAAACTGCATGAACAGGACAGATGCTCAATCGGTTTTTATTAGGTCTGGATATTCGCGTGTGTATGAGCCATATATAAGTATTGGCAGAGGAACCTGCTTTCATTGTCGGTCTGCCAGAGTAAGGTGCATCACGCTGCACTCGTGGAAAGCGCATTTTCCGTCGCATTCGGCCCGGAGCTACATTCGTTGCGTTCGCACGCTTTTGACGCGCTTTTTGCCCAACCTGCGTATGTCTAGTGCTTTCCAATACATTGTTGTAGGCCAACAATAGATACAAGATTATGGATTGTCGAGTTGTGGTAAGTCTTTTGTTGAACATGTGAATTAAATAACAATTAAAGCATATGTTTTATCTTGATATTGCAATTTAACACTTTTTTCAACCGGTTAATATAAACATGGTTATTATAATTATAATAACCATGTTTACGTGAGTTAATTAAACAAAGCATCTAGGTTCGTTAAAAGTGAATAAGTTGAATGTTTTGCGTGCGTTCGTTAGGTAATAAAATGGCGTACAAAAGAAATGTTATACGGAAGTTGTTATACATTATATTATAGAGTTGGTTATAAGTTTACATTCAATAACTAAAGCTATAAAATGTATATACGATCTTCCTTTTCCGTTCCTTGTTTTCATGCGCAGGTAATTAGACACAAGGATACAGACTTAGCGATTGCCAATGATGCGATTCGTTATTATGATGCATTACGAAATGTTTTTTGTTGTCGCTCACCTAAAGCAGTATTACACTTGCGAGAATTTTTGCTTACTACATTTTACATTGGAATTTAATGTTTAAATACATACATCTTATACTTTTTAAATTACAGTTTATCACCATTTGTCCTTCCATCTTATGTCTTGGCCTCATGCTGCTCAGTTAACGTTATTTTAAATCTTCAGTTTTCTATCACATTGAATGTACCTACCTATCTTGTATTTTAAAAATTAACAATAAATGTATATTATTATTTAATAAAAAATATTCTAATAAATTCAAGCTATCTTATGTATGCAACCGTAACTGTGTCTCTTTACTTGTCAAATAAAGGCCTTAACGAAATAATTTTAACAAGTTTTTGTTTTAATAATTTTAATTCACTGGATTTTGAGTCACTTATAATTATTTGTAAATGTCATGTAATATATTATATAGGTTTCTCTGCCAAAATAATGTTTTGGAATGTCATTCAAACCTTCGATTTAATAAACCAAGTTGTAATTCAAAATCCTTCAGAAACTTATAACATATTAAATGTACGAATATTAAACACTTATAACACTGCATTTTTTATTAATGTAACGTCTTTCGATATTTTAAACTTGTAGTTATAATCGCTTAGTATAAAAAGTTAGAAACGCTTGAACACTAGTTTTGAATGTTATCTATTTGCATAATAAACTTCACTTGACTTGAACTAAACATAAATGTATAAAGGCTGATTTACACGTGTTAAGTAGTTAAGTAGGTAACTAAATTGCTAGCTAACAAAATTGAGCTTGTCACTTGACATGTTTTGACAAGCTGTTTCATTGTAAACAAGAGCCTGACGTTTGGAATTAAGATAAGTTACGATGCAATTTGATCAAGTAAAATTAAGTCAATTTAGTTACCCACTTAACTACTTAATACGTGTAAATCAGCCATAAGGCGTATTTAGCTTTTTATTAGTAAAAGGTTCATTTAAAGTAACATTTTAACTCCAATAAACTTTAGTTAAAAGAAATATTTTTTTCAGATTACTAGTAACAACTATCCCGTCAATGAACATTCGTAAGAACATGAAATTGATATTTCTATGTGTATTTTATGTATGGTTCCACTTTGCTATATGTATATTTTTACTGAATCAAATAAGTGAAAGTGAAGTACATATTTTAAATCGAATATTTTTATGTAATAATTTTAAAATAACAGCCCGGTGTATCACGTGTCATTTGTATTATTTTGTATCAATTGCATCTTACTATTTATTAAGTGAATAAAGAACGGTACTTACTGGGATAATTTTCACAAAGCAGCATTATGAGATAACTTCTGCTCTATTCGAAAACTCAAGCAAACTATTCAAGAAAAAAAAAATAGTATCTTAACATGAGCTTATGTAACAAACACGCTATGTAATGTTAGGTTCCTGGTGTATACTGTAAACAATTCAAACTCAAATTCAAATTATAGTTTATTCAGTTCATAGGCCCTTTTCAGGGCACTTATACACGTCCCAAATATAGCTTGCCCTACCACCATTTCGGGACAACATATGGCTGGTCTAAGAAGTGGCAGAAGAACCTGAGTCACTTTTGACAGCAACCATTATTTGAATATTATACAATTTTACTGAATAATGAATCCACGGCGTTTCCAGGCCTTCCAAATTATAGTGAACACACAACACTAATAAAGCTTTTGTGTTTCAGTTCTTATTTTGTCTGGTGGCGCTTCTGTTGGCTATCGCTGAATGGTAAGTTGCTTTCATGTTGAAAAAGTCGTGTAGCAAAAGCATTTATGGACAGTGTAGCCATTTTATTGCCAATTTTACCTATGGTTAAGGGAACTGTGACAATAGTATGGGGTCATCCATAAAGTACGTCACACGTAAAGAGGGGGGGAGGGGGTCGACAAAGTGTGACAAGGGGTGGGAGGGGTCCTAAGTTTCGTGACATCACATTTCTAGAGGTACTTACTAATCGCGTAATTTGAAATAAATAAATTAAACTAAAAAATACCTCCACCACTAGCACAANTATACGATACATTCTTAACAAATTAGGAAACGAAAAGGAGCAGTAGTTAATAACATAGACAATCGATATTGTTTTACACGTTATCACGATTTTAATTACAAGTTTTGTAATTTCAATTATCGTAACGCACACTTGTTCCTAATCTACTTTGCCAGTCTTTTGCTTTCATTTATTGTTAGTCAAACATAACTACGCTATTATAACTTCAAAATATGATTTACTAAAAAAAAAATTCAAAATCCTTTGGTAAAGTTCCATACAACTTGATGTGGTACAATTTAGCCGACTAGGTGATAGTGCTGTTAAAAAATCGGTAAAAAATATAGCTTATAAATACCGAAAAATGTTTCAAATAATTGTAATCCACAGTAATTTACGCTTCGAAATAATATATTAGAAACACCCTGTGATTAAATTTAACAAAATTACAAACTAAACATGTATTGTCAAAAGTTACTTGAAAACAATGAACAAATATTTTTCAAAATAAAACACACGTATTTGTTGTCACGGCAAAAACCACATGGCCGATATTAATTGATTTTAGTTGTATATCGCTGAGTGTTGCAATTACAGACATTCAATAAATACTTTACGAAATATGAGGGTGGTACAATTTACCCGGCGGTACAATATACCGAACTCTCCCCTATATATTCCTAATAATCATTATTTACTCAAATACTATACTTATACTTATTCAAGTGTGATTAAAAGAAATGTGTTTAAATGTAGAGTCCATTATTTTAGCAATGTTTAAATCACACATATGAACATGGGTTTACGCAGTAAGGTGTAAACAAAAACAACAGTTAAATATGTATGAAGTATTGAATTCATATTTAACATTGCTCGTCAGTCAATACGGCACAATTTTTTTTACAATAGTAAAATCACAAACTGTGATTTGTGTATGTCCGTAAACATGTATGATTGATAGTAAAATCTGGAACATTTCAACTGTCATTGATGATTGTTGTCCGCGATTAACACGTTTTTTGTTTACAGCCGGACAAAAAAAGTGGTCATTCACGTGCCGTACAAAGTGAAGAAGATAAAGCATACGCACACAGTATACAAGACCATTCATCATCACCACACGCACCACGATCCGCATCTTGACCACGCGCTGTCGCCCTCGGAGGAGCATGAGCATTTCCACCACATGCACATTCACGAGGAGCCGCCAGTGGGTCAACACAGCCAGCCTGTGCCTGGCATTAGCATTCCTGAGTTCTTGCCTGACGTCCCCTTGGACGTCCCGTTGGACCTCCCAGATATCCCTCGTGAGCTGCCAGTGCTACCGAACCGGCATGTGATTCCTCTCTACAGACGCACATAGGTTAGTAAGCTTGGGTCATTTTTTAAGTCGTCGGCCGTTTGGTGTAGTGGTTCGAAACGGACTACTATTCCGGAGGTAGCGGGTTCGATTCCCGCACAGTACAAACATTTGTGTGCATGAACATATTTGTTTGTATTGGACTGGGTGTTTTCTATGTATAATAAGTATGTATTTACAAAAAAAAAGTATTTAAGTATGTTTATATCCGTTGTCTAGTACCCATAGTAGGGGAGACCTAGGAGAGTTGTGACAATTTTTACTTTAGGGGCCATATCTCGCTCAAAAAACATTCTACAGCTATGAATCATACAAATTAATGTAGCGCCGTTCCTTCTGTTTTTAAAACAATCACCAAAGTTAACTAAAGTATTAGGGTTTCTAAGAAAATCACCAAAATCTTAGACCACTCCCTCTGTCACAACTCTCCTAGCACCGAGGTAAGTTGTGACATGTACCGAGGTGAGTTGTGACAGCATTGTATTTCATCTATTAGATATAAAAATACCATAATACTCAATCAAATATGATTTTATAGCAAAAAAGTACTTTAATCATCCTTTAGTAACAATTAAAACAAATAGTTATAGGATATCGTTACACAGATTGAGCCACATTTCTCCAGCTTTCATTTTTCTCCCACGACACTGGATTTTTTTATTACGTTTTTAGCTAATATAGTCACTTAATATATTTTCTTCCTCTTCTGTAAAAATAAAATAGTCGCGGTGGTATAATCCATAGACGGAGCTTCGCCTTCTGGGTTTACTTGATAAGCCTGTTTCTTCTATATCTTGACAAGAGGTCGCTCTTAGATTGTAAGAGGTCGCAGCGTATCTTAAACTTTAACCGTTTTTAACCTAATCACTTCATAAGCCAGGTCCTATATTTCGACTCCAGCAAGCAGTTCCTCTATATGGCATTCATGTATAGTTATTAGGTATTCAGAATCAAAAAAGTAGCAGCAGGCAATTAAACAAATTATGAACCTAATAACACACAAAAAAAACATCTAAAAACATCGTGGAAATGGTCCATCAGAAAAATTAAGTAAGCTAGGAGAGTTGTGACAGGCTGTCACAACTCTCCTAGGTGTTTAAAATGACGACTTGGTTCGAATAATATTTTTTATTTTCTAGACACGATGCGCACACAAAATATCAGTGCTACATTTTGAGACCTGAATAATCATGCAACTTGAGAAAAAATAACACAACAGTGCACACATACTAAAACATGATTTAAATTGAAATAAAATTTTGACGAAAAACTTACTTTTCGCATTTTTTTGTACACAGACGTCATATTTACGAAACCGTGCCTCGTGCGCCGCCCGCAGGTACTTAGTCAAGAAGAGCGTCTTAAAAGCGACAAACAAGCATTTTTTCCAGCTTCCTAACTATATTAAGTAAGGAGAAATCGTCCTTGTCACAACTCACCTCTGTCACAACTCTCCTAGGTCTCCCCTACAAGCTTTGCTTAGTTTGGGACTAGAAGCGCAGTGTAAAATGTCTAAGGAAAAAAAAAAAAAAAAAAAATGTTATTTCTGGAGTGGCATCATGACTCTTCAGTGACTTGACTTTGCAGTGAACCTTCTATCTTCAATTCTATCCTCTATCTAAAGTAAAACGATGGCAGATCGCTTTTCGAAATTGTAGGAAAAAACTTGAACAATTCAAAATTTATTGAATTTTTTAATGCAACAACAGTTTAGTTCTACAAAACATGAATACATGATAATAAATAATTTTATTAGTTCCACTTTTAGATAAATAACATAGTACTTACTTACTACGAATTACAATTGTAAAAGTTTTGCTTATATCATTATGTAGGTAGGTACTTATAACTATTGTGTTTGTTTTATGTTTACTTACACAATAATCTTTCTCTTTTCTTTCAGATCGTAGAGAGAATATCAGTGAACGTAGTCGAAACAAAAAAGCCATAAATGCGTTTGAAGTAAGTCCCATGCTTATAAATATTATGAAAAGATGAAGAACTTTGCATATTGTCGATGATGTTTAAGAAGTGCTTTTGTTAAATAGTACTTGTGCTTTTGTTGCGCCAAGAATCCTAAATTATTATATTATTTTACGAGCTTAGTCTCACAAAATTGTACAAATATTAGTGATTTACGACGTCTTCCATTAAAAGATTTGTTTTCTATCAATTTAAATGCCAAAGACTCAAGACTGTTTGTTTTATAACTTTAATTTGCAACGTTACACAGTGAACATGTACTGCGATTTAATTAATTAAATAATTAGTGAAATGCTTCACATTATTTTTATTATATAGGTAGTCTTCCTGACATCAAACTATTTTAATGTTCATTTATTTGTGTAATGATTGTTCACATGCTGATTGGTTGACATATAACATTATAATATTATTTGTTGTACTGACTCAATGGCATTTAGTTTACTTTACTCATTAACGAATCTATTTTTCATCTTTTCAATTTTAAGCCTGCTCTATTTATTAATATATTAGCTTTAATTTTGTTAAATCATACAAACAATTAATACCAAATAAATTATGAATACTAATATCTTATCAATTTAAACATGTTGATGATTTGATTGCTTTAATATTTGTTATGTTTTAGAATTCATAACGTAGCATATTTATTCTGTCTGTAGTCTGTATTAAGTGTACTAGTTACTAATTGTTTTGTCGGAAGTTTTTAATGTCTACAAAAAGTATTTCTTGACAAAAACGTGTTACGAGATGCCCCAAAGATGCTATATTTTGTGATTTGAGTTTACGTTACACTAGAATGCTGTAAAGTTATTTATCTAACGCTTATTATTCTTAATAACATTGTAATGTTATGCAGCCAGCATTGGAGCTTAGCATATTGAATTATAGCATTGCTAAATCATATAAAATAATTAAATAACTTATACAGAGTTGTTTGCGAACATTTGAATTCGAACGATTACTACGACGAGCTTCAGCACTGGCTGACGGAGTAATTTTAATTGTTCATCATCAATAAAAATGTTACAACAAAATATCGCGTTTCGATTGATTCTAATATAATTAACCTGAAACTTCAATGTTTTAAAATTTCAAGAATTTTAATTAGTGGACAATTCTTAAAGCACTGTGTCACACTCACACAGCATGCTAACACAATCAACGTGTAAAAGTGCTTTAAAGCCTAATTATAAAAATACATTTATGACTTCCTGGTTAATGTAAAAAAGTCTAAATTTTCGTAAAATTAAATTATAACTTCATTACCAGACCCAATTATGACGACGGATTTATTAACCCTATCCGTAAGCTTAACCAAAGTGCAGGTACCTACCTATTAGAAGCGAAGCAATATATCCCAGCAATGAGGTATGAGTATCGCAGGAACCCGACATAAATAATAGTCATAGTTAAGCATTCAAAAGAATCTTTCCCGAGGGAAATCAATAAATCGGAATGGAATGGATAATTAAATTTTAATGGGGCGCGTTTACACTTTAAAATATTTACGGTCGCATTCTGACGCCTACAAGCTTTATTTATGAGACGCCATCGCAAGCCTCGTCGATCGACACATGCAGCTGCATTGCCTGCTGCGTATCTTCGGCCTTCTCCGTCTTGGAATAAAGATTCTATTCGGTGTAATCAAAACGTCAAGAGCTAGTTTTTGTTTACTTTTTATTTTGGTTTGATTATTGGAAACGTTCTGTGTTCCACTCATAAATCTGAGGCCTAATAATTACTCTGATGTAACCCAAATACTCACGGCCTGTTTGATGAAAAATGTGCCTGCTCGAGAGCATGAATGGCCGACGAAGTTCACCAACTGAGTCCGGCTGACCCGAGTTGCGGCATCCACCACCCCGTAGTGTTGGAACGACAACGAAATACTTAGTTATTTCACACAGTGACCACAAAAAATGTAACACCACACTTCCTTGTTCGCGTTCCGAACTCTGTGCTGATGGATATAAGAATGAGAGTCGCGCCGCTGAATGTGCCGGCACGCCTTTTGGCATGCTCCACTGACAATAGCAATTTGTTGTCTTTTTGCTGATATTACGGGTTTATTTAAGTGAAATTGGATAAATGGTCATCTCGCGATGTGGCGCTATTCAATCCGGTGTGGTGCGGCAGCCGTGCGGTGCCGGCTCTAGTGATGTCTGTTCCATGATCTAAAATAAAACAAAGAACAAGAAAGAAACGAAAGTATACCTAGATTGTGATGTAAAACAAAATGTGAGAAGGCTTGTTGGTGTTAGTTTTGTTGAGTTCTAAATATTGACAGAACATACCGAACTTTTGTTGTGGACTGTGTGATTTTTGTGGCAAGGACTCAAGTTTTTAAAATGGATTTGATAAAGTACCTGACGGTGCTAGTGCTGTTCCTCATCGAAGATGGAGACACAGGAGGCCATGGAGAAAAACACCAGTAAGGATTTTGCATTTAGTTATTTATATTTTTAGATTTCCTGATTGAGCGAATTTAGCCTTGCGAATATTTTTAGTAGACTAGTTCATAAATCTTAGGATCATTGATCAACATTTTCTCTCTTGTTATTGTGTTTCCACTGTACCCACCTATTTATTACCTATCAGTCAGTTTGTTATTTATTAAACTAACTTTAACTTAAAAGTCTTGACCTTTATTGGTTGTAAATATAAATAAAATTGATGATATATATATTTACAATTTAGTTATATAATTTAGAGTTTGAGTATCGCTGTAATTTTATTTTAAAAATGTAATTTTTAATCACGCACTGGCTCTATAGTTAAAATGCATTAGCGAGATATTTAAAAATTCTAATTATGATAGCTAATAAGCATAGAAGCTCCATGAACATAGTTCCATAGTTAATTTTACTTACATCTTGCAAATTCACTGACAATAATGGTTTAATTTTTATTCCAGCGATCATGTTAAACTACATATGCCGGAGTTCATCCATCACGATCATCACACTAAAGTGATAACGATTCATCATCACCATCATAAACCAAAGAAAGAGCATCATCATCATCACCACCACCACCATCACCCAAAACCGCATATTCCTCAAGGTCATCACTACCACAAGCATCATACGAAGCTGCATACCACGACCAAGACGGTTTCTAAGGGGAAACATCATAAGCATCATGGTCACCACGGCCATCATGGTCATCACGGTCACCATGGACACCACGGACACCATGGACACCACCATGGTCACCACCACGGCCACGGCCACCATCATGACAACCATATACCTCACCACGACTACGAATCGCCCTCATATAATTACGAGCCTCCTACCTCTACATTCGAAGAAGACTTCGCATCTTTCAGTCCAGCCGTGCCTGCTTACGGTGGCCATGTAGCTTCTGATTATGGAGGAGGTATTCCTCAAACACCTCGTGTGCACGGAGTATCGCATACAGTAAAACATGTGAATGTGTACGATAGCTTACCTGGAGCGGTTCCTGGATCGCAAGTTAAAAATGGACATGGCTACGAAGTAACTGAGGCAGATGAAGACGATGACACGTTTACCGCAGTAAATAGTTTGCAGCAGTCGTATCCGTCGACCTACGGTTTTATACGAGGAGTGGCACCAGCTGCCACACACGACCCATTCGCGGAAATACCTCAACCTGCGGGTGGACTGCAAAGTCATGATCCGTTCGCAGCTGCACCTCAACCGACTTCTGCTGTTGGTGGTATAGAGACCTTCACTGGAACTGTTCAAACGCAACCGTTTTCGTCATCAGCGCCTGACCAAGGCGACCTGGGAAGTGCTCAGCCGGCTTCTGAATTCCCTGCTAGTTTCCAAGGAGATGATGGTGGTTTTGGCAGCACAGCGAACACTTTCGTTGGTGCTGATGACGGAGGTTTTGGAAGTACAGCCAATACCTTTGTCGGCCCTACTGGAGGCACAGCGTTTGCCGCTGATGAGAACAAAGTGAATGATGAGAGTCCAGTCTCATACTCCAGAGTAGCTGGAATTCAACAGACTGTTAAAACTGGTGGTGTTGAAACTGTAGTTTATTAGTTACTAGATTTAATATCGACTTGTGATCAAATGATACATTTATTTATTACCTTTGTAATTACGTTGTAGAAAAAGTACTATAATACGATTACCAGTTTTAAGACTAACGTTAGTACAAACAATATAAATATAAGAAAAATATTATACAGAAGTATGAAAATGTTAAGTTTTAAAATAATGAGTTGTGCCTGTTGTTGAAATAAATTGTTTTTATTATTTGTTGTGATTTTTATGTAACAAGCTGGAAGTTTTTCATGGTGTTAGATGTTAGTGTGTTTAATGTACCGTATTTGCGGTAAAGGACAGGACTTTCACTGCTATCCGTCAACCATTACAGAGCAACGAAGGCATGTTTGAAAGCACTTATATCATCGGCGTCATCTGACAACATAGTGTAATTTGTGGCTCCTAAAAAGACAAGCAGTGCAATTGGACATGCCCTAGTTCCGGAATTGCTCAAATTGAAAAATAAACCTCTACCAATGTCGACGTAACTAAAAAAGAATAAGTTTATACTAAAGAACTGTGAGCCAAATATTATGCAATAGATTTTAGAATGCGGTTTGAGGGTGATTGTCTATTTGGTTTATGTCGACCCAGTATCAGGTCTACTTATTTTTAATAATAAGCTCTGAATCTTGTCGGGTACCCAGTAAATACAAATTAACTATCCATCAGCCTAGATATTCTTATTTTCTAACGTTTGGAGTTTATGATTACAAATAAAATATAAAATTTTACCAATACCTACTAAAATAAAATTCCAAACAATAAATTTTTACGAGAACTGTATAAAATATCGTGTATTTGTATCATTAATTTAATGCCCTAATACTTGTATTTGCGTCATTACGTTTTTGATGGCATAAAAATAACTATAAACTTCACTTTCTATCGTATACATTTTATACACTCAT